AATGGTCAGGGGTCCCTTTACACTTTACCTTTAATGGTGATAAACCTCTCCCATCACTTGGGAAGACAGATGAACTAATACCAGTGTACTGGAAGAAGCAAAGATCACCAGTGTTGAAGCAATGATTCTTCAACATCAACTTCGTTGGACTGGTCATGTTGTGCGGATGCCTGATGATCGTCTTCCAAAGCAACTACTCTACTCCGAACTTAAAAATGGGAAGCGTAATGCTGGTGGTCAACAAAAGAGGTTTAAAGACCCTCTTGAGGCAAATCTTTAAAAATGTAGTATAAACACCGACAACTGGGAAACACTGGCCTGCGAGTGCTCCAGTTGGAGAGCAGCCTTGACCAAAGGTGTTGTGGACTTTGAAGACACTCGAACTCAGGACGCAAGGGAGAAAAGCGCTAAGAGGAAGGCACGCTTGGCAAACCCTCACCGGGATCAACTCCCACCTGGAAACCAATGTCCCCACTGTGGAAGGACGTGGGGATCCAGAATTGGCTTCCACAGTCACTTACGGACTCACGGTTAAAACCGTGTTTATGGAAGACAATCTTACTCGGCTAAAGAAGATTGCCAGAGAAGAAGAAGCACGCACAGAGTTTTTGCTCCCCGCCAAAGTCAACGCATTTTTGTAGTTAAGAGGGCTCTGGGGCAGCTGTCCTGAGTCAGACCCCCCTCATTTTGCCCAGGTAAAGGTAAAGGGACCCCTGACCATTAGGTCCAGTCTTGACCAACTCTGGGGTTGCGGCGCTCATCTCGCTTTATTGGCCGAGGGAGCCGGCATACAGCTTTTGGGTCATGTGGCCAGCAGGACTGAGCCGCTTCTGGCGAACCAGAGCAGCGCACGGAAACGCCGTTTACCTTCCCGCCGGAGCGGTACCTATCAATCTACTTGCACTTTGTGTTTTCGAACTGCTAAGTTGGCAGGAGCAGGGACCGAGCAACGGGAGCTCACCCCGTCGCAGGGATTCGAACCGCCGACCTTCTGATCGGCAAGTCCTAGGCTCTGTGGTTTAACCCACAGTGCCACCCGCGTCCAGGTATTTGTCTCAAATCAAGAGTATTTACTGGAGATGACCTTGAGGTCTAGCACCTTGACTACTATCTGCATGCCAAACAAATGCCCAACCGCCAAGCCCCTACACCTCTGTAAGGATACAAGGTGACCTGAATCTCCCTCACCCTCCTTGCTACTATTTCCTCTTTCCCTGCCCGTATGTTTTCATTTCCCTGTCCTTGAGATTCAGTGACTCAGCCCGCAGGAAAAAAAAACAGCCCTGATTTGTCATTTTCTGTTTGGACTTTTTGATTCACCCAGAAACACGGTTGAGCTCTGAGGCATCGGCTGAGTGTTTCTGGGCGAGGGCTGCAAACAAACAAAGGAAATGTTTTTCGGCCGGGCAAACAAGGGGCGGGGGGGAGCTTTGTCTGTTGGATTTCTGCCTGCCTGGCCACTATTGGTTTTTTTAAAATCCTTTTAAGGGCAGGCACCAATTCATGCCGGGACGCGGGTGGCGCTGTGGGTTAAACCACAGAGCCTAGGACTTGCCGATCAGAAGGTCGGCGGTTCGAATCCCTGCGACGACGGGGTGAGCTCCCGTTGCTCGGTCCCTGCTCCTGCCAACCTAGCAGTTCAAAAGCACATCAAAGTGCAAGTAGATCAATAGGTACCGCTCCGGCGGGAAGGTAAACGGCGTTGCGCTGCTCTGGTTTGCCAGAAGTGGCTTAGTCCTGCTGGCCACATGACCCAGAAGCTGTACGCCGGCTCCCTTGGCCAATAAAGCGAGATGAGCGTCGCAACCCCAGAGTCAGTCACAACTGGACCTAATGGTCAGGGGTCCCTTTACCTTTATCTTTACCAATTCACGCCAGGCATCTCAGCCTCGGACGACCAAGAAACCTCGCCTGTTTTCAGGAAAGCTCTGTTGTGCAGACGGCACTCTGGATATGCTCAGAGGACGCTTCCCAGCTTGGTCTCTGCTTACACCAGTTGTCGGCAAACTTTTTCAGCAGGGGGCTGGTCCACTGTCCCTCAGACCTTGTGGGGGGCCGGACTAGATTTTGAAAAAATAATAATGAACAAATTCCTATGCCCCACAAATAACCCAGAGATGCATTATAATAAAAGGACACATTCTACTCATGTAAAAACACGCTGATTCCTGGACTGTCCGCAGGCCGGATTGAGAAGGCGACTGGGCCGGATCTGGCCCCCGGGCCTTAGTTTGCCTACCCATGGCTTACACTTACTAGATTTGTTTCCCTCCAGCATGCGAAACAGAGGTGAGCTCTTCCTAAAGAACAGCTAAGAATCCGGCCCTCATTGTTCTCAATTTTTCAAAGGAAGCTGCTTTCTGCGAAGGCAAACCACTAATCCATTATCTCAGTGTTAACTACACTGGGCCATTCCCCCTGCCCCGCCCTGATCTGGTGCCTTCTGCATGGAAAACTCCCTCTTTTTAAAAACAAAAAGACAAGGCTGCAGTCCTCATGTTGATTAACAAAGGGCTGGTTTAAAGAGAAACAGAATCCTAGAATTGTGAGTTGGAAGAGACCATGAGGGTCATGTAGTCCAACCCGCTGCAATGCAGGAATTTTTTTTTGTTCAACTCAGGACTCGAACCCACAACCTTGAGTCCCTTGCTCTGCCAGCCGAGCTACCCTGCAAAAGGGGTCTCGTACAAAGTCAGACCATGGATGTGTCTAGCTCGTGATGTCGACGCTGGCTGGGATTTTGCTGTCCTGATGCAGAAGATGAGCTATTGGAGGGGGAGGCAGACAGGGGAGAAATCTGAGTAATGGGTTGGTGACGACTGAGTCACAGGGGGGTCAGAGACCAGCTCAGCGCATGAGCAATCCCCTCAGCAGCCTGACCCACCCGTGTGGCTTATGCGGCGACCAAGACTGCTTTGGGACACCTGTCAGCTCGCATTCGGCACACATTTCTCGTGATGGGGAGCCACCACTAAAAAGGCCCTGGTGGTGACTCTCTGGGGCTGGTGGACCCCCACTAGGCAAGATTCACAAGAATGGAACGTCTAGTTGCCATTTGGGGGCTAAAACAGCTCTAAAGTCCTATTTGTCGAAGGATCGGTTGACTGTGATTGATTCTGCTGAGCTGGGTCAAGAGCTCTGAGAACTGAAAGAATAAAAGTCCCTTGATCCAGGGACAGACCACATATTTATTGACCTCTCTTTCTTAATGGTGACACGGCCCATTCATAACTTAAGAATATTCTTCACAACCCTGAGCAGGGCAGTGGGTTGGGGAAGCGAAGACAAGCAACGACAATTCGTAATGATGTCCTTTATTGCTTCTGCTCAGACTGCACAGAAGAAGCATTTTGGTTCCTGAAATTCGTTCCGACGGTGCAGATAAAATATAAGGGGTAGAATTCTACAGGGTGGGGTCTTAGCGTGTGCAAACGGTCCTGATCCAAGGATCCCCAGGCATGCACCTCCAGATGGCAGAGATCTCACACGCCATCCTGTCACCCGTTCGCAAGTAGGCTGATATCTTGGCTTGGCAGATTTCAAAGGCTGGGTCCCTCTAAGTCTAGCATCCTGTCCTCACATCACCCAATAATCCATTACAGTGGTGCCTTGGTTCTCAAACGCCTTGGTACTCAAACAACTTGGAACCCAAACACTGCAAACCCGGAAGTAAGTGTTCCGGTTTGTGAACTTTTTTCGGAAGCCGAACGTGCTCCGTTTTGAGTGTTACGCTTCCGATCTGAGTGTGACACTGAGGTCTGTCTGTTTTTGCTATTTATTTTGCGTTTTTGTTTTTGCAGCTCTTTTTCGTTTTGCTTTTGTGACTGTGTGGAACCCAGTTCAGCTACTGATTGATTGATTGTGTGACTTGCAGTACATTGTTTCTTGCTTTCGTTTTATGGATCAATGGCCTCGTTAGATAGTAAGATTCATGTTCAACTGCTGTTTTAGGGGTTGTTTTTAAAAGTCTGGAACGGATTAATCCGTTTTGCATTACTTTCTATGGGAAAGCATGCCTTGGTTTTGGAACGCCTTGGTTTTGGAACGCACTTCTTGAACGGATTAAGTTTGAGAACCAAGGTACCACTGTATTATTATTATTATTATTATGGGGTGGAATGGGGGACAGAGGAACTGCAATATCTGGGTTGAGTATGTTTAGCCTGGAGAAGAGACGATAGCATATCTGAAAGGCTGTTGTCACATGGGAGATGGAGCCAGACTATTTTTCTGCCGCTCCAGAGGGGAGGACCCAAACCGATGGATTCTGACAACAAATAAGATTCCCATAAGAGCCACTCAGCGGTGGAACAGACTCCCTTGAAAGGCGGAGAGCTCTCCTTCCTTGGGCAACAAAGGTTGTGTGGACAGAGAGGGATTCTTTAGCTCCAACTCCTGCATTGCACATAACTGCATTGCGTATAAGGGATGCGGGTGGTGCTGTGGGTTAAACCACAGAGCCTAGGACTTGCCGATCAGAAGGTCAGCGGTTCGAATCCCCGCGACGACGGGGTGAGCTACCGTTGCTCGGTCCCAGCTCCTGCCAACCTAGCAGTTCGATGGCACGTCAAAGTGCAAGTAGATAAATAGGTACCGCTCCGGCGGGAAGGTAAACGGCATTTCCGTGCCCTGCTCTGGTTCGCCAGAAGCGGCTTAGTCCTGCTGGCCACATGACCCGGAAGCTGTACGCCGGCTCCCTCGGCCAGTAAAGCGAGATGAGCGCCGCAACCCCAGAGTCGGTCACGACTGGACCTCATGGTCAGGGGTCCCTTTACCTTTACCTTTTACCTGCATTGCACGGGGTTGGGCTGGATGACCTTTGGGGTTCCCTTGCAACTCGTAAGGTTGTCTGGTTTGGGGGCCTGTGGCAGGACGCCGAGTGGGAAGCATGGAGCGGCCGCCATGGGCAACTGGCCCAGAAAGAGAGAGGGAGAGAGAGATTGAGAGCGGCAGCCGAAGTCTGGCAAGCGGCCGTCTATGCTCAGCGTTGCGTCAGCGCCAGTGTGCAAATCCCTTTGCTGAGTCTGCAATGCTCTTTTCTCTCCCTCTCATTCTTTCCCTCCTCCCTCCCTCCCTCCTCCTCCTCCCTCTCCCAAGCCCCACCCAGCATAATGTGACTGTCAGCCCTTGGGTTCTGTGTGGGATAAAAACTTTTCGCGCACCTCCCGAACATTTCATTTAATTAAAAAAAAAACCAACGCAAAACCGCAGCGCTGCTAGCTGGAAGGAACGAGAGCCTCGGCTGAGCACCACAGGCAAAGCGGACGACGCCTCTGGAGAAGGATTACATACATATTTTTCCTCCCTCTTTGTAGGGAAGGGGCGAGATTCACCTTGTGCTTTTTTTTCTTCCCCCTTGCCACATCCGCAAGAAAGGATCTTTTCTTCTCCCGAAGGGTTTCCCCGACACGTGAGGACCTGCCAACCCGTCTGGAGACAAAGGATACAATTTTCCGCTTTGGGGAGAAATTTCCTGAAAGGGTTTTTTATTTCGTTTTCGGGAGCGATTCGGAGGAGAAGGCGGCGTCTCCTGGCGGATTTTGGTGAGTCCCTTTATGGCCCGACGCGGTTTGGGTTCTCTTGTAAGGAGATCCTTTTCCCCACACCCCACACCCGGGCGGTGGGGCCCGTCCGTGCCTGGCTCTTGCTCCTCCGGGGTCGAATCCTGCGCCGCTTCGGCAGTTCTTTCCCCCACCCATTCCCACCCCCCATCTCGAAGGGAAATGCGCTCAAAGGGGCTCCTCTCCAAACCGGCTAGACAAAAGAGTTCCCAGGGAAACGCCTGGCTTCGCTCAAGCCTCCTTCCCGTGGATCACATTTCAGAAGATCCCTTTGACATTTTCCATGTCGTCGCTGGGGCTTCTGTGAGGAGAAGGGGTAGGGGGGGTGGGGGCAGGCAGGCAGAAATCAAAACCAGTCTTTCCACCATGAAAAATCCGTCAAGCGTTTGAGTTTCAATTGCTACTGCGGCTGTGCGTTTTTACGCACGCACTGGTCTAGCGAACAGACAGACTCACACGGGTCTATTGTACACGAACGCACGTCTGTTTCGTGCACACACGGGTCTATCTCTCTCTCTCACACACACACACGTCTGCCTTACAAGCCCACAGATAGAGCGTCAATTCACACATACACGTAACCCATGAGACTTGCTTCACTGAGTAAGCTTGCAAAGCGCGCGCCGTCGTGGAGCTTACTCCCGAGTAAGCGGGGAAAGCGCCTCAGATCGGGCCTCCTGAAGTCCCACGAACTAGCAGCCCAATGGATCTTTGAATTCTCTCTCTGCTCCCCCCCTTTATAAAGAAATTTCACCGGGTTATCGGGAAGGCTCTCCGAAGGATACCCTGTCATTTTTTTTGGAGAGGGGGCTCTTGCGGAGGGCGGGGGGGAGGAGGAGACTCACACCATTCATCAAAAGCTCCTTTCTTTTACATCCGAGTCCACCCCACTCCTACCCGCCCTTGCCGTGTTAGAGAGAGCCAGAGACTCCTCAAGAATAATCTTCTGTTCTTGCGGATAAGAGACTCAGCCAAATTCCGGGGTGGGGGGCGGGTGGCCCCCTCCGCCCAAACAAGATTAACACCCCCAATACACACCAATAGAATATATATATGTGTGTGTGTGTGTTCAGCATCCATTTATCCTGTTTAAATGCAGATGCAGAGAGCACTGCGGTCATGAGACCAAAACCATTTGAGATTTTATTGGAGGGGGGGGTCGCGAGAGAAATAATAATCCTCCTGGTCTGCTGGATCTGTCGGGGGTGCCGAAAAAAAGAGACTTGTTTGCTCTTTAGCTTTCCCAACACAGCCCAACCTAAGCTCCATTCCTTGAGGGCTTAATTCACACACACACGGGTGTTTCTCAGGAAGCCGCAAAACTGCAAAATTATTTAAACAATTTTTGGGTTTGGGTGGGTGGGTGTTTTCTTCATTGTTTGAGGGGGGGTTGTTATAACACCGCCTCTCTCCGCTTGTCTTTCCGTGGACTTATCTGTCCCTCTGCGGAAATGGAAGGCAAATTTGTGCCTTAAATTTGTGGAAAGAAAACCACTTTTGGAGAGGAAAAAATTAGATTTGGAAACTCGAGTCCGTAATCTAACTGGCTTATTTTTCAAGACATTGCTCGATTCAGCTGTGGGGTTTGGGGGGGGCGGATTTTTGCTTTGCCAAAAACTGGGGAGGCGGAGGAGCCATAGACAGGCCCCACACCCTGAAATATATTCTGCCCACGTAGATATTCCTCTCCGTGCGTCTCCCACCCGCTCGCATTGTTAACGCTGCCCATTCATCTGGTCTCCCGTTCCCCCCGCCCTCTTCCTCTTCCCACCCCGTATTTCCATAACCCGATCAAAAGGGGGGGGTCTACTTTAGCCTCCAAGGACACAAGACCCCCCCCCGCCCTTATGCCTCGAGGGCGCCGCTTCCAGAAGGGGGTTCCTGGGCTCATATGTCACAGTGGGGAGGCTGGGAACCCGCAGAGACTGCGGCAGCACCTTAATTTCGGTTCTGGAAAGGGGCAGGGGCTCAGCCCCCACCTGGCTGACCTAAGCACCTTGCACTTTGAACCCCAGCCGCATGAGAACCACCATTGTTTGCTCCCTGGCCAAATGTAGTCTGTGTGTATTCAGAAGCCTGCAAGAAAACTAGCCCTGTGTTTGGTTAGTAGTGGAGAATAGCCTTGGCCCTGTGTGTGTGTGTGTGTGTGTGTGTGGTTTTCCAGACTTTATTTCTTATTCATTGCACTTATATGGCACCTTTCTCAAGGTGACGCGGGTGGCGCTGTGGGTTAAACTACAGAGCCTAGGACTTGCCGATCAGAAGGTCGGCGGTTCGAATCCCCGCAATGACGTGGTGAGCTCCCGTTGCTCGGTCCCTGCTCCTGCCAAGCTAGCAGTTCGAAAGCGCGTCAAAGTGCAAGTAGAAAAATAGGTACCACTCCGGTGGGAAGGTAAACAGCGTTTGTGTGTGCTGCTCTGGTTTGCCAGAAGCGGCTTAGTCCTGCTGGCCACGACCCAGAAGATGTACGCCAGCTCCCTCGGCCAATAAAGCGAGATGAGTGCCGCAACCCCAGAGTCGGCCACGACTGGACTTAATGGTCAGGGGTCCCTTTACCTTCTTCTCAAGGTAGAGCACCTAGTTCTTCCCCTCCTCATTTAATCCCCAAAAACAACCCTGTGAGGTGGATCAGGCTGAGAGGCAGCGGCTGCCCCCACCCCAAAGCCCCTCAGCTCCGTGGCTGAGCGAGGATTCGAACCCTGGTCTCTCCCAGCCTAACCACCGCACCGCAATGGCTCTCCGTTGTTCCAGGCAACCATTGCAATTGCCTCTTTTGCAAGCCTGTTGTGCCCATTTCACACACCTGTTCCACTGAGGCACCAGGTTTCCTTTCCCTGCTGAAATAAGCCAGAGTACTCCCTTATCTAATAACCTCCGTGGGAGAAAGAGGAGAGGCTGGAGGCTGGGATCTCTTTGCTCTGAGGACTTCTGGAGGTGGGAAGTATCGCATAAATCTTTCCCTGCGCCTTTGGTTAAGAAAGGAGGCGAGTGGGCGAGCCAAGAATGTGTCATTCGGGCAATCGGGTTCGTTTTATTTTATTCCCCCCCCCCCCGAAACGCCCAGTGCAGTTGGCAGAGGCTTTTGAGTACGGCACGGGGCACCCTCCTGCCTCGCCGCTTTTGGACCCGCGCACACCTCGAGCGTCAGGGGGGGCAAAGCCGCGACGACGCTCTTGTGTTTCACGGAAGGTCGTTCGCGCTGCTGGCAAAGGTGGGGCTGGCATGACCCTCTTTTGCCAGGCGTCGCAAGCTTCCGGGTGGCCGGGGACTCCTCGTCAGAGAAGGACGAAGAGCCCAGTGTGACCCAGAAGCTTGCTCTTAGGCCAAAGAGGTGCCAATCTTCCACGGAAGCTGAGTGTGGCACTCGCAGTCTGCTAGGACCTTAGGCTTACTGGGCCAAAGTTGGGGGCAAAGGGAGGGTCTCTAGAATGGCTAGCGGGTATTCCTCACCCGGCAGCCTCCTGTTCCTGCGAGGTAGGACCGTGCGTAAAAAAGCACTCTCTTGTGGGGAGAGGGGTGGCATTTCCTGGCTCCTGTGTCTTCCGCTTAACTCTTTCCACGCCTTCCAGCGGTGGCAGTGTACATCCCATAATTCTCCTGCTTCCCTTTATTTTGCCAAAAAAGAATCTCTCTCTCTCTCTCTCTCAGGCCTGCTTTGCAGATCTGCACGCCACATTTAAAGCACATTCGGTGCCCATTTAAAGCACCCGCCACACAAAGAATCGTGGGAACTGTAGTTCCAGGGCGCTGGGGATTGAGGCTCGGTGGCGGAGCAAACTACAGTTTCCAGAATTCTTTGGTGGGGAGGTCAGGTGCTTAAAATGCACAGGGCAAGGGCCTTTGTTTTGGAATCTATCTGCAATGCTTTTCCTCAGCAGCAAACTGCACTCTACACACGCCCCTTTTCCTTTTGCGCGGCTGAGCCCGCTTTGGACTGAAGAGAGCAGAGTCCCTGTGACATACCGTATTTTTCGCTCTATAAGACGCACCAGACGACAAGACGGACCTAGTTTTTGGAGGAGGAAAACAAGCAAAAAAATATTCTGAATCTCAGAAGCCAGAACAGCAAGAGGGATCGCTGCGCAGCGAAAGCAGCAACGCCTCTTGCTGTTCTGGCTTCTGTTGATAGCTGCACCGCCTGCATTCGCTCCATAAGACTCACACACATTTCCCCTTACTTTTTAGGAGGGAAAAAGTGAGTCTTATAGAGCAAAAAATACGGTATTCAGGTGTAGATTTATTTGGGTAGGTGAGCATCTCTTGCTCCCAAACCCCTTGCAAGCCTCTTCCTGAAAGGGCACTTGCTATGTGTTAAACCCCAATACGCAGAGTTAAATGTAAAGGGACCCCTGACCATTAGGTCCAGTCGTGACCGACTCTGGGGTTGCGGCGCTCATCTTGCTTTATTGGCCGAGGGAGCCGGCGTACAGCTTCCGGGTCATGTGGCCAGCAGGACTAAGCCGCTTCTGGTGAACCAGAGCAGTGCACGGAAATGCCGTTTACCTTCCCGCCAGAGTGGTATCTATTTATCTACTTGCACTTTGACGTGCTTTCGAACTGCTAGGTTGGCAGGAGCAGGGACCGAGCAACAGGAGCTCACCCCGTCGCGGGGATTCAAACTGCTGACCTTCTGATCGGCAAGTCCTATAGACTCTGTGGTTTAAACAGAGTTAGGTTTAAGCAGAATTAGGCCCGTTGAAATTAAAGGACTTAAACCAACCATGCCCTTCACTTTAAACCCGCAAGTAGGAATTAGATATATGACTTGGGTATTTTGGATCTTTAAAAAATCTACCTCCCTCTGAAAAGCAGGTCAAAAACAGGGAGGAACATTCTTTTTTTAAAAAAATCTGCATCAAAGATGTACCGTTTTGCTTACAAAACTCTCTTAAACTGACATACAGCCCCCCCCTTTAAAAAAAAATCTGGGATCGCCCAAGGCGGTTCACCACCACAGAGGGGATTTTAGCTCTTTGGCCTGGCCACCCCTCGTGACTCCCCACCCCCAAATATGCCTTAACCCCCCCCCCCAAATGCACCTATTGTTCCTGGGGCTTTAAAATTTCCCCTTTCCCCACCAGGGGGTGCCCTTGTTTTGCTGGCTCAATCCAGAGCCGCTCCAGATCAGGTCCCCGTTCCCTTTCGGCTGACAATAAGACAACAGAGCCGAATAAGGTCCTTGCCCGAAGAAGCACGTTCAGGACCCAAAGGGGCTTTGCTCAGCACGGACAGGATCGGGCCACCCTTCAGTAGCTTCCCAGAAAAAAAGGAGGAGGAGGAGGCGTTGGGAATAAAAACCCCAAGATCTCGCCATCACTGTGCGTCACGACCTCAAAGGACCCCAGATTTTAAACCTGTGGGTGTCAGATTATAGATGACACGGCTTCGTAGGGGTTCCTCGTCATCTTGCTGCTTGCGTTATCCTCTCCCACCAAAACCCACCGTTCCCAGAGAATAATATTCCCCCTGCTGGTAAAATTGTTCCGCTTGTCTCTAGATCACTCCAACTCAGATTTCTTAAGAAGTGTGCATGCGCACGAAAGCTCACGCCAATAACAAACTTAGTTGGTTTCTAAGGTGCTACCTTAGACGCGGGTGGCGCTGTGGGTTAAACCACAGAGCCTAGGACTTGCCAATCAGAAGGTCGGCGGTTCGATTCCCCGCGATGACGGGGTGAGCTCCCGTTGCTCGGTCCCTGCTCCTGCCCACCTAGCAGTTCGAAAGCACGCCAGTGCAAGTAGATAAATAGGTACCGCTCCGACGGGAAGGTAAACGGCGTTTCCGTGCGCTGCTCTGGTTCGCCAGAAGCGGCTTAGTCCTGCTAGCCTCATGACCCGGAAGCTGTACGCCGGCTCCCTCGGCCAGTAAAGCCAGATGAGCGCTGCAACCCCAGGGTCGGTCACGACTGGACCTAATGGTCAGGGGGGTCCCTTTACCTTTACCTTTAAAGTGCTACTGGAAGGAATTTTTGTTCTGTTTTGTTTCAGTTTTCTTACGCTATCCTGGGTGTCTGCAGAGCTGGAGGGGGGGCTGCCGTTTTATCTAAGACCCCCAGGGCCCATCTGCCCTCTGCGTTTAAAGTGGTTATCGCAACATTTTAAACAGTCCCCGCAAATACCTTATTTTTTGCTCTATAAGACGCACCAGACCACAATGCGCACCTAGTTTTTGGAGGAGGAAAACAAGAGAAAAAAATTGTCTGAATCTCAGAAGCCAGAACAGCAAGAGGGATCACTGCGCAGCGAAAGCAGCGATCCCTCTTGCTGTTCTGGCTTCTGGGATAGCTGCGCAGCCTGGATTCGCTCCATAAGACGCACACACATTTCCCCTTACTTTTTAGGAGGGAAAAAGTGAGTCTTATAGAGCAAAAAATAAGGTAATTATGGGAGCTGTAGTTTGCTTAAGGCAGGCTTCCTCAACCTCAGCCCTCCAGATGTTTTTGGCCTACAACTCCCATGATCCCTAGCTAGCAGGACCAGTGGTCAGGGATGATGGGAATTGTAGTCTCAAAACATCTGGAGGGCCGAGGTTGAGGAGGCCTGGCGTAGGGTACTAGAGAGTTTGGAGACACACATACACACACACAATTCCCCTCCCAATTCCCACAGTGGTTTAACGACCAGCTCCTTTTCCCTGGGAATTCTGGGAATCGTAGCTCTGGGAGGGAGAATACGCCCCCCCCCAAAAAAACCCAACAACCTATCAGTGCCCTTAACAAACTGCATCTCCCAAAATTCTTGACTATTTAAAGTGGTATCATATGGTGTAAATACAGCCATGGTCCCCTCCTGCAAAGGATTCTGGGAAGTGTAGTTTGTTAAGGATGCTGGGAGCTGTTGGGAGACGCCCCTGTTCCCTTCCAGAGCTGCCGTTCTCAGCGTTGATTGACAGTTCATCCTGTTTCCCAGGGAATTCTGGGAACCGTGACACTCTGAGAGGACCAGAGGGTCTCCTAAGGCAGTGGTTCTCAACCTGTGGGTCCCCAGATGTTGTTGGACTACAACTCCCATCATCCCTGAGCTCTGGCCTTGCTAGCTAGGGGTGATGGGAGTTGTAATCCAACAATATCTGGGGACCCACGGGTTGAGAAAGGCTGGCTTAAGCTCAGCTTACACCACGCTTCCTCAACCAGATGTTTTGGCCTACAACTCCCATGATCCCTTGCTAGCAGGACCAGTGGTCAGGGATGATGGCAATTGTACTCTCGAAACATCTGGAGGGCCGAGGTTGAGGAAGCCTGGCTTATGCAGACTCTATGGAAGAGCTTCCCCTCTATCCTCTTAGCTCAGTGGTTCCCCAGATGTTGTTGGACTACCACTCCCATCATCCCTGAGCTCTGGCCTTGCTAGCTAGCTAGGGGTGATGGGAGTTGTAGTTCAACAACATCTGGGGACCCACAGGTTGAGAAAGGCTGTCCTAAGGGCTCTGAGCAGCCCTAGCAAACTACATTACCCAGGATTCTCTGGGAGAAGACCTGTTTAAAGTGGTAGCACGCTGCTTTTCTGTGCTTAGTCCCATTCTCTGCCTTTGTCCTCCAATCCAAGGCCCTTTCTCTTGCAACTCTTCGAAATCCCTTTCAGCAAATTCTGCCTCTCTTCAGCCAGGGCTTTTAGACCCTTAATCCAGGAAGCTGTGAAGAAAATGTGCTTGCACCACAGAAAAGCCACATTACTTTCCCAGAGATGGGCTGGAGCTGGAATTTTATCCAAACCCACTAGAAAAAACCTGGAGAGCTTTTGCCCATCATTGTAGACAAACCTCAAATGGATGGGCCAGTGGTGTGACACAGTAAAAGGCAGTTCCCTATGTCCCCATCAGCCCCAGACAGTGTTAGAAACTCAGATATAAACAGTAAACTTGCCGATCAGAAGGTCGGCGGTTCGAATCCCCGCAATGACAGGGTGAGCTCCCGTTGCTCGGTCCCTGCTCCTGCCCACCTAGCAGTTCGAAAGCACGTCAAAGTGCAAGTAGATAAATAGGTACCACTCCGGCGGGAAGGTAAACGGCGTTTCCGTGCGCTGCTGTGGTTCGCCAGAAGCGGTTTAGTCATGCTGGCCACATGACCCAGAAGCTGTACGCCGGTTCCCTTGGCCAGTAAAGCGAGATGAGCGCCGCAACCCCAGAGTCGGCCATGACTGGACCTAATGGTCAGGGGTCCCTTTACCTTAAACTGAGGATATGGTTGCCACAATGGACTGTCAAGGCGCCATTCCACCCCCATGGACATCATTCTTCTTCTTCTTCTTCTTCTTCTTCTTCTTCTTCATTTGATGTATATTTCAAGGGGGGTGCCTCAAAGCCATTTAGAGCACATGAAAATATCAAAACAATCCAGAATACAACAGATTCAAGGAAAATATTTCAGATCCTTCTCTAAGGGACATTTTTGCTTTCCCCCTATTTATTTACCTACATAATTTATAGAGCTGCCCCATAGCAGACGTGCTCTAGGAAGCCGGTGGGGTGTAGTAGTGGTTAGAGCAGGGGACAGCAAACTTTTTAAGCAGGGGGCCGGTCCACTGTCCCTCAGACCTTGTGGGGGGCCGGACTATATTTTGGAAAAAGAAAAAGAAAACAACGAATTCCTATGCCCCACAAATAACCCAGAGGTGCATTTTAAATAAAAGGACACATTCTACTCATGAAAAAACATGCTGATTCCTGGACCGTCCGCAGGCCGGATTGAGAATGCGATGGGGCCGGATCCGACCCCCAGGACTTAGTTTGCGTATTCATGGGTTAGAGTGTCAGGCTAGTACCTGGGAGATCAGAGTTCGAATCCCCACTCTGCTAGGAAGCTCACTGGGTGAACTTAGAGTCAGTCGCGACCTCTTAGGCATTTCTAACGCTGTGTCACTGTAAGCAATATTGAGCTAGAATCGATGGACCTGTGGTCTGATTTGGTATAAGGTCCCTGTGCCCCTATTTGCGAAGGGTCGTAGAAGAATGGATGCTTTTGAATTCTGGTGCTGGAGGAGACTCTTGAGAGTCCCATGGACTGCAAGGAGATCAAACCTCTCCATTCTTAAGGAAATCAGCCCTGAGTGCTCACTGGAAGGACAGATCCTGAAGCTGAGGCTCCAAGACTTTGGCCACCTCAGGAGAAGAGAAGACTCCCTGGAAAAGACCCTGATGTTAGGAAAGATGGAGGGCGCAAGGAGAAGGGGACGACAGAGGACGAGATGGTGGGACAGTGTTCTCGAAGCGACCAGCATGAGTTTGGCCAAACTGCGGGAGGCGGTGGAAGACAGGAGGGCCTGGCGTGCTCTGGTCCAGGGGGTCACAAAGAGGCGGACACGACTAAACAACAACAACAAAAAGAGTTTTGATTTACTTAAAGCACCTCTTTCTGCCCCTGAACAGGAAGGTTAAGACAAGGAAGTACTGTATTTTTTGCTCTATAAGACTCACTTTCCCCCCCCAAAAAAGTAAGGGGAAATCTGTGTGCGTCTTATGGAGCGAATGCAGGCTGCGCAGCTATCCCAGTAGCCAGAACAGCAAGAGGGATTGCTGCTTTCACTGCGCAGCGATCCCTCTTGCTCTTCTGGCTCCTGAGATTCAGAATATTTTTTTTCTTGTTTTCCTCCTCCAAAAACTAGGTGCGTCTTGTGGTCTGGTGCGTCTTATAGAGCGAAAAATACGGTATTTCTTGATGCAGAGCAGCCTGGTTTGGCCAAGGACAGGTGCAAGCTTGCGGGTATAACAGAGCGCTGGCGACGAAGAGCCCTGTGAAACCGCCAAGCTTGCCTGTTCTCTACACCAATTAGTCCCAGCAAAGGAACCCCCGTGTTGATCTCCTTTGGGGATCTCAGCTTAGCAACCACACAGCTTTGATGGCTTTATCAACACACTGGTGATAAGGTAAAGTTAAAGGGACCCCTAAGCATTAGGTCCAGTCGTGGCCGACTCTGGGGTTGCGGCGCTCATCTCTCTTTACTGGCCGAGGGAGCTGGCGTACAGCTTCCAGGTCATGTGGCCAGCAGGACTAAGCTGCTTCTGGCAATCCAGAGCAGCGCACGGAAACGCCGTTTACCTTCCCGCCGAAGTGGTACCTATTTATCTACTTGCACTTTGATGTGTTTTCAAACTGCTAGGTTGGCAGGAGCTGGGACCGAGCAACGGGAGCTCACCCCATCATTGCGGGGATTCGAACCGCCAACCTTCTGATCGGCAAGCCCTAGGCTTTGTGGTTTAACCCACAGCGCCACCTGCGCCCCATGATATAGCTCTACTTTAAAAAAATGGTTCTGGGACCCTACAGTTCTGTGGGGCACAGATGTATTTATTTCTGATTAATTCTGCAAAAGCAGGGAGGACCGCAGTACAGGGCTGTTGTAATATTTTGTTGCAGGGGAATATTTTGGGATTACTTAATAACGAGTAGAGATTGGGTTTGTCTGGATACAACCAGGAAGCCGGTTTTCCCCTTCTGGACTTCTGTGTATTTGCACAAGAGGTTTAGCAGAACAAACTCTGCGCATGCTCAGAGGCACTATCAATCAGCGAATACTCATTCAGAACAGGTCTTAGGGGCAAGACCTTGATCGGGGAGTTTAGGGAGGGTGGGTCAGTGAGCAAGGGAATATTCTGCAAGGCTCTATCAGTCTGGATAGACAGAAATGGGAAGACATGAGGAGGGGAGTCAGTTTTGAGTTTTTCTCGCCAGGTGTCTCCTGAAAAAAAAACCTAATTATAAATACCCCTTGCTCAAATGTGGAAGGCATGTGAAGAATTTCAAGTTACCCTGTGAAAACTCAAACTTTCTCCTCCCCCAAATGAATGGGACAGGGAAAGCATTTAATAATAATAATAATAATAATAATCACTTTAAAACAACTCTCATAATTTAAATTATCACCGTCTTCATAAATCAAGACAATAAATAATGCCTGTTTACAAGAAACAAATAAAGGAGAATTATATTTCCAGTTTTTGAGTTTCCAAGTACCTAGTCCCTGCTGGGTTTATTTCTGTGAAGGTGCTGGCAAGCCACTCTCATTCAGATGAAACCACACCCTGACCAGGCGACCAGTTCAGTTGGTTGCATTCTGTAGTGACCATGCCTATAGGATTAACTTTCTAGTATTTTGCTTTGATACATCCCTGCGGAGTGAGTCCTATTTGCCCTGAGATTTACAGATGTCGGGTGGTATATAATAATAATAATAATAATAATAATAATAGTCAGACGTACCGTGGTACCTCGGGTTAAATACTTAATTCGTTCCGGAGGTCCGTTCTTAACCTGAAACTGTTCTTAACCTGAAGCACCACTTTAGCTAATGGGGCCTCCTGCTGCTGCCGCGCGATTTCTGTTCTCATCCTGAAGCAAAGTTCTTAACCAGAGGTACTATTTCTGGGTTAGCGGAGTCTGTAACCTGAAGCGTATGTAACCCGAGGTACCACTGTACTTGGTTCATAATTTTCAGTGATTTGAGTTTGTGCTTTTTGATACAGATACCGTTTTGTCTTTCACCTCTTTGTGGGGCTCTTGGTCCAATTAAAGGTAAAGGTGTCTCCAGCACTCCCAGGTGCCCCCTTGCCTCTTAGGTAAAGGGACCCCTGACCACTAGGTCCAGTTGTGACCGACTCTGGGGTTGCAGCGCTCATCTCGCTTTATTGGCCGAGGGAGCCGGCATACAGCTTCCGGGTCATGTGGCCAGCAGGACTAAGCCGCTTCTGGCGAACCAGAGCAGCGCACGGAAACGCCGTTTCCCTTCCCGCCGGAGCGGTACCTATTTATCTACTTGCACTTCGTGCTTTCGAACTGCTAGGTTGGCAGGAGCAGGGACCGAGCAACGGGAGCTCACCCCGTCATTGCGGGGATTCGAACCGCCGACCTTCTGATCGGCAAGCCCTGGGCTCTGTGGTTTAACCCACAGCGCCACCCGCGTCCCAATTTGGTCCAATTAGCGATGTACAAACAGTATTGTTAATAACAGTAAGAAACAAACTGATAATAACATAGTAATATGTATTGGACTGGTCGTACGCAAGAAAAGCTATCCTAAACCTTTAAAAACTTGATACAATATTGCTATTGTAAATTGTATGTTATTATCATGACTTATTGTTATTATTAATTTATCATCATCACTTATTACATTTATATACCACTCTGCCTTTGATGCTCTTTGTGCGTCTCAGGGCTCCAAACCTTCCCCTTAAAAAAAAGAAAAACCCACTATTTTTCTTTTTTTAAAAAAAAATTAATTAGGACAAAAAAGACCAATTGCAGTCTCCTTGCAATTAACATCCTCCCCATTTGGGCTTCTATATAATCTATCTATTCATAAGGGATTTGATTTCGATTGTATCTTACCAGCCCAGTGGTTTTTCCTACTTCCTTCAGTTTAAGCTTGATTTTTGCTATAAAAAGCCGGACACGACTAAACGACTAAACAACAACAACATAATCTATCTATAAATCCATATATATGTGTATATATAGAGAGAGAGAGAGAGAGAGAAATATTTATAGATATATACATATAGATCTAAATACATATGTATTTATGTATGTGTATATATCTATATATATATTTATGTATGTAAATATATTTCTATTTTTATATCTATATCTATCTATCTATCTATATATAAATACACACACACACACACACACACAGTACAATCGATCTCACACACGTCTCATTCTTTAATACTGTAACGTTCTTTGTTGTAGGAAGAATATATTATGAATGGCCCTTTAAAAAAAAAAAAAGACCGGGGCGGGGGAGGAAATACGGGGGCCGGCTCTTACCCCTCCCCCTCCAAAAAAAAAAAAGGCGTGTGGGCGGAGAAGGGGGGGTAAAAAAAAACTCCATCTTGGCCCCTCCCCCTATGGCTCGATGGCGCTGGTCTGCGCGGAGCATCCGGTCTCCCTTTCCACGTGGGGGGAGAGCCGCCCGCCGGCCGCCATTGGCCCGCCGCGGTGGCGTCTGGGCGTTCGGAGGGCTGGGATTGGCTGGGGGGGAGAGAGCAGGAGAAAAGAATGAATGGGGAGGGGAGAGAGGCTCCGCCCCCGTTTGGAACGTTGATACATTATAACTTTCGCTCGGCGCCGCCGCCCCGCCCCCCTCCCTTCCTCTCTTTCTCATTCTGGCTCTTCCCTCTTTCATCTCCTCCTCCTTTCTTCTGCGCTGGTTAGTTTCACGCCAGACCTCGGGAGCAGCAGCAGCAGCCCTGGCGGCGGCGGCGGCGGCGCCGGCTGCTTCGCTGCTCCGTCTGTGTGGCCGCGGGTTCGAGCCTCAGGTGGGGAGGAAATAATTTAAATATATATATTTTTTTAAAAAACCTTTTAAACTATATTTCAACCAGGAGACAGGTTTGGGGGGGTTTTTTTGTGTGCGTGTGTTTTACAAAGTCGCCTTCCCATTGTCTTTTAAGTGGGAGGGGGGAGGGGAGAATTGAGCGTGAGTTTTGGGGGAGGAGGACAAAGGACGTCGGCTCCCTACGCGATCTTTGCACGCGAGCGGCGGCGGGGGGGGGGGGCGGGAGAGAGAGAGAAAGAGAAAGAGAGGAGGACGCCTGGAAAGCTCGCACTCGGATTGACTCCGGCGTCGTGTGGACGCTCGAAGCGGAGTCGCTCCGGTTTCTCGCGGGAAGCGCTCCTTTTGTCTGATCCGTGTCTCCTTGTCTCCCCCCCCGCAAAAAAAAAACTCTAGGTAATCGAATGGACCACCAACCCACCCCCAGGAGTTGCAGCCGGGGGCCTCCAGCCTGCGACGCGGTTCAGAGCGAGCCGTCCATGAATGTGCTCGTTCACACGACCACCGGGGCCCGGTATGAGCTGTCTGTGCCCGTGGAAGAGACGGTGGAAGGTCTGAAGCGGCGGTTGTCCCAGAGGCTGAAGGTCCCGCGGGAGAGGCTGGCGCTGTTGCACAAAGAAAGGTAAATTACACGTGTACGCGTCTCTGTGTGTGTATATTATATTGCTAATTCCCCCCTCCCTTTTCCTTTCTTCCTCCCCACCCCATCCCGAATACCCGTGTAGAGAAGTTAGGCTTAAATCCGGAGCAAGAAGTTCGGGTTGCAGCCTGCGAAGTTTTACTCGGGAGTAGACCCGCTGACCTTAAGGCAGCGTCTCCGTGTCAGTGGGTGGTTGTGAACTCTTGCTCGGGAGGAGACCCGTGGGAAAGGGATGTGCCCGAGTTCGCTGCGTTCGGTGGAAAGTGTGCGAGCTCTACACGGGAGTAGACCTATTGGAAGGAATGGGCTTGAGGAAGCTGCGCGCCCTTTTAATTGCACAGCTCCGGCGAAGAGCTTGGGCTCCAGCGCCTCGCTTTTCGACCTGCATCCCGGAGCCCGAGACGTTGTTCTACTCGGGAGTAGGCTTCCGCAGATGAATCCAGGAGGGCTTAATCCTAGGGCAACCAGGGCCTGGTGGGATCTTGGCGGCGGTGTGTGTGTGTGCGTGAGAGAAAGGGTTTGGGGCGGGGGAATGGTCTACTCGGGAGTAAGCTCAGCCGGGAAGCTTTGCCGTGCAACTTTTTCAGAAGGGCAGGAAAGTGTAGCGGATCGCGCTCAGAGTAGACCCGTTGAAATGAGTGGAAGTGAGTTGCAGACTTGGGTCCGTTCCTTGCAATGGCTGGATTTCGACCCAGGAGGGGCCAAAATGAAAAATAAAAATCATTTCTGCTTGCTTTTGTGGGGTGGGTGTGTTTGCACCCGTGTTCACACGTATGACACACTCGTGACCCTCCCCCCTTTTTATATATCCCTGCTATAAACCTGTCTTTTGATACGTGCTGGTGCATATTTGCCAAAAATCGCCTAAAATGCATATATATTGTCATTTGCGTCGGGTTCCTTTGATGGCACCAGACTAGGATGTGTAAAAGGGGTGTGTTTATAAAAGAGATGCCTTCAGCCTAGATTTGGTGTGTCCCCAAAATACTTATTGTCCCCGAATAGCCCCCATTTCCATTTATCCCACTGTTTATGAACGGCGGGGGGGTCTAGAAAAACCACACTCTGAAATTACCCACTTACAATTTGAGATATTTGGTGAGAATATTTATGTGGGTCCTTGCATGGGGTGGCTGGTGTTTTTTTCCGGGGGGGGGGCATATTTTTCATACCTATTCCCCCCCCCAAGGAAAAAAATATCTCCCGGCCTCTTTTTGGGGGGTTCCCACAAAAGGATTTGTCTGGAGCATAGCTGGAAATTCTCAATGTGGCCCCCAAATCTACCTGCCCCCCCCAATCCTGGCCTGGCCTTCTCCCTCCTGTCCTTTGTTCGGAAGTTTGATTCTTGCAATTGCAGGACGCGCCCCCCCCCCCGCCAGCATACTCCATCTCTGTGCAAACCGTAGCTGCTTAAAAATAAATAAATCAATATTTGAGCATCCCTACGTTGCAGGGAATCTGAAACATTGTATTCTCATTTTATTATTTTGTAATTATGCAGAGGATTTGTGGAAGTCTAATTGCAACAGTAGCTTATAAGGGCCAGGCTGGGGGGGGCGCGTCCCTCCTCCTCCTCCTCCTCTCTCTCCCTTTGTTTAACAAAATCTCAGCTTTGTTAGGGTAGAGAGAGACAGATCAGTTCCTAAGATGCAAGGAAGCAGTTGCCTTTATCTGAGGAGCCCTTGAGGGGGAAGGAAATCTCCCCCCCATTTGTCTATCTTCCCTCCCACCCCCTGTCTGATCTGCTTTTTATTTTATTTTTTAATGCATAAATCCAAAAAAAATATATGCATTTTTATGGTCTCCCTTCTTCACACAACTAGGTAAAAACGGGGGACAGTTCAGACTTAAAAATCAGGGAACAGTAATGTCATTTTATTCTATATTTTCCCCTTTAGGTACTGGGCCTTGCAATATAATATGGGGGGGGGAGCCCCTCTTTTTACAACCATAAATTTATCGCTTGCTGTCTCTCCCCTTGGAAAAATATGGCTATTTCTCTCTTCAGATACAATGGGGGGTTTTTTTGCAATGAATGAATGGATAAAATAATCTACCCAGATCTGTCGCTGAAATCGTCTGGCAGAGTGGGTATGTGCAAAGAGATAGTTGCTTGACGGATGACTGCGGAATACCAGCTGCCCTGTGTCTGGGGAGGGGGGAGAGACTGACTTATTATATTGTGTTTACATAAAAGGAGCGGAAAGGGGGAGAGGCTGAAGGAAGACACTCCCCATTCCCCAAAAAAGAGAAATACTGGAAAGATGAATAATCAGAGGTTCTGTGTTCTGAAAGCAATTTAATTACCATTTGTATTTTTTTAAAAAAAAGTAACAATGCTTTATCCCTCCTCCCTCCCTCTGTTTCTCTCCCCCCTGCTCACCCCCCAAAAATATCCTTTTAGTCGACTTAATTCGGGCAAACTTCAAGATCTGGGTGTTGGAGACGGGAGCAAGTTGACTCTGGTGCCAACGGTGGAAACTGGCTTAATGGTAAATAAATTTCATTTCTTATCTCCCTAAGCTTCAGGAGGAGCCCAAGATGTGGCGCCCACCGGGTGCTTTGAACTATAACTCCCATCCGCTGCAACTGGGTGTGTGTGAATGGCCAATGATTATGGGAGTTGTAGTCAGAAGGCATTGAGTATGGCGATGGATGCCTTAGTCATCCTCTAAGGCAGGCAAACTCCAGATGTTTTGGGACTACAATTCCCATCGTCCCTGACCACTGCTCCTGTGAGCTAGGGATGATGGGAGTTGTAGTCCCAAAACATCTGGAGGGCCGAGTTTGCCTATGCCTGCGCTAAGGAACCACAGCTAAAAGAATCCCTGGCAGACGGCTACCCAAACTCTGCAGAAACTAGTAAAATTCTGCGTGCTTTTTAGGTCTGGCCCTGCACACCTCTGCCATGCGGCCCCCGGAAGATTGGCCCTGGGCCTATTAGTCCCCCGGCTAGGAAAAGGTTCCCTAACCTTTAATTTAATTTTTGGAGCCCCTCTGCAAGCTAACAGGTCACTCAAAGGCAGCCGGTGGGGGGGTGAGGAGATAAGTTAGCCTCCCCTTGGGCTCTTTCCCTTCCTGCTTGCCTAGAGGCGATTCGGAATGCTCTGTAGGTGACTAATAATAATAATATAATAATAATTTATTATTTATAACCCCGCCCATCTGGCTGGGCTTCCCCAGCCACTCTGGGCGGCTTCGCAAAGAAAAATTTAAAATACTGTAATACATCAAACATTAAAAGCTTCCCTAAACAGGGCTGTCTTCAGATGTCTTCTAAAAGTCTGGTAGTAGTTGTTCTCTTTGACATCTGGTGGGAGGGCGTTCCACAGGGCGGGCGCCACCACCAAGAAGGCCCTCTGCCTGGTTTCCTGCAACCTCACTTCTCGCAGTGAGGGAACCGCCAGAAGGCCCTCGGCGCTGGACCTCAGTGTCCGGGCAGAACGTTGGGGGTGGAGACGCTCCTTCAGATATCCTGGACTAGGCAAAGTGTCGATTTTTGGAAAAAGAGATTTATCTTATTTTCCTTGTTTCTCCTCCAAAAAACCCACCTTCTACAGTCGCAAGCATCCAGACCGGAGCAGTCCGTAATGCAAGCGTTGGAAAGTTTAACAGAAACTCAGGTAAGGACACTTTTGGCTCGGGACGTGTGTGTGTGTGTGTGTGTGTGTGTGTGTGTGAAAATTTCTCCCAAAATCTTATTTTGTTCCATTGCCTGAAATCGCCCTGCGAGGACCACAGGGCTTGGTCAGTGGCACGCTGCCTCAGCCCTGGTGACCTCCAGATCTGGAAATACCTAGTTTTCCTAAAGAATTTGACCCTCCCTGTGTATTTAAAAGAAGGATTTCAAAAGAAAAACGAGCTCCGCTTCTGCCTTTGGGTAAAACTTCCTCCTTTCCTTTCGGATCACTTCCCTGATCACCACCGTATTGATTTGGGAACTTTAGTGCGCTTAATTTTGTACCTCGATTGTACATCTTTTCTTTTCCCCAATCATCTGTGGTCCAGGACATCTTCGGCCCCGTGTGTATTTTATTTTATTTATACATTCAACGTATCTTTAATACATCTTTAATTGTCGCCATTTATCTTACTTCCCTCCCCTCCGTGAGGGTCTTAATTTATTCCTTGTTAAATTGCATCTCCTTAATGACCTTTAATGTACGTATTTTATGTACGCTGTGCTATTTTTACCTGTTAGCCGGCTTTGGTCGGGGAGGGCGGGATAAAAATAAAAAATTATTATTATTAAAGCACTATCTTGACACTTTAAAGCAGTCGCTTCCCCATAAAATCCTGGGAGTTATAGTTTCAGGGTGCTGAGAGAGCGCTGCAATTCCCAAGATGGTTAAACAGCCCATTCCTCTTTGTAGGGGAACTCTGGGAATTGCAGTTTTCTGGTGGGAACAGGACGCCGCCTAACGACTCTCAGCCCCCTGAAACTACAGTTCCCAGAATCCTTTGTGCACCGTGACTGCTTTAAATGTGGCGCGATGGGACTTGAGAAGGGGGAGTGTCTGCTTTGTATGATCTCATTTTTTGCGAGGCTTAAAGGCCATAGAGTTGAAGGAGGAAGTAGGAAAGAGTGCCGCTCTTTCCCACTTCCTCTTTCATCTCTATGGGCTTTTCGAGGCTTTGGATGAATTGCACCAAATCTGAATTTTCGTTTTATTTTCGCCTGCTCTGGTGGAGGGAGGGCAGAAGGGGCTAGAGGGAGGTGTTGCCGTGGGGCTTGCTCTAAAAATGCAGATGCGTCTGTGGGGGCCTGATAAGTTGGCAACCGCTGCCTTTAGAGAGAACCTAGAAGCCTAGCCTTTTGATGGATTTAACTGAATCCTGTAAGGGAAACTTGTGACTTTTAAAGGTGTGGAATTGTCTCCCACATTACGATGGGCTTTCAAAGCTGGGGGGTTCAGGACCCTTGGAAAGCCAGGGTTGTCATTGATAATAATAATAATAATAATAATAATAATATTTGAGAAGTCTTCAAGGAAGGCTGCTTAACACTGATTTGGCTTGGTAATCCTTCAAAGCTAGAAGAAAAAGGCAGCGGGATGAGGGTCTCTCGGCTATAGGTCTACTCTGAGTAGGGCTAACATTGCACATGGCTCATGGCAGTCTAAATTACCTAAATGAGTCCTGATCTGTTGGTCTTCCGGGGCGAATGAATCTAAAATGCTCTCAAAAGAAAATTGTGGTGGCTGGCCAGGAATTGGGCCAAGGGGGTGGGTGGGAAACATCTCCCCTTTATTGCCCCCCCCCTTGCAAGCAAAGAAGTTCCCTTCATCTGCCAGCTGCCACAGTTTCATATCTCTGGCTTTGTCCTTCGCCATTAGTCTGCTAGCCACAGAAATGAACGAACAGAACCGGCCGCAATTTAAAACACATCACAAAAGGAAAAAGCATTGGGGAGGGAAGAGGAAACCAAGCGGGCACCGATTCTTAAAATGGTTGTGGTCCCGTTGAACTTAATGAACAAGGTGAACTGGGGGGGGTGTCCATTAATTCCGGGGGTGGGGGCAGCCTACCCTGAGTCCAACATAGCTGAATGAAAACCGATTGTCTTTATAATCCTCATGTGATCAAAACGAGCGTTTTGATAATGTGATTTAAAATCAAGGTGTGAGCCCCTTTCCAGTCGTCCTGTCCCCCCCGCAGCCCCAATAAGTAAAAATAAGCATTCTCACAATAGCAAAGCGGATGCCTGTCATTTAATTCCAATAGACCCACAACTTGTAGTAATCACCCAGTTTGGGGTGGTTTTTGTTGTTGTTTGCGATTATTCCCCAACACCAGATTCACCAGAGCATTATATCACTTTTAAGGCGCCTTGAATTTACTACGTGGTGCCCAGGGTTTAAAAAAACTAAAGGTAAAGGGACCCCTGACCGTTAGGTCCAGTCGTGGCTGACTCTGGGGTTGTGGCGCTCATTTCGCTTTACTGGCCGAGGGAGCCGGCATACAGCTTCCGGACTAAGCCGCTTCTGGCGAACCAGAGCAGCGCATGGAAACGCTGTTTACCTTCCCGCCGGAGCGGTACCTATTTATCTACTTGCACTGGCGTGCTTTCAAACTGCTAGGTGGGCAGCAGCAGGGACCAAGCAACGGGAGCTCATCCCGTCACGGGGATTCGAACCGCCAACCTTCTGATCTGCAAGTCCTAGGCTCTGTGGTTTAATCCACAGCGCCACCTGCGTCCCTTAAAAAAACTAGGCCCACGTTTATTTATTTTTTTAAATGAATGTATACTAGGGCAATGTTGTGGGACGGCCACTTTATTATTATTATTATTTTGTCTCCTGCCCCAGCGCAGATAGGCTTTTGGCTGGCGGGGGGGGGGAGAGATTTGGGGTGCAGAGTAGCAGCAAGGGGGGGGTTGAAAGAGTCCAATTTCTCCTTCCTCTCCCCCCCCTCCACCCCACAGCCTGATCATTATATGGAGAAGAGAGGGGCGGGGAATTTTTATTTATTTGATGCGCTCTCTCTCTCTCGGAGCCTCGGGAAGAGGCAAGGCTGGAATTTGAGGGGGGGGTTGGCCTATTGATGGCAAGGGGGGGTTCACACCAGGAATGCATGCATTTTTTTGTGGAGGGGAGCTGAGCCGAGTGGCAGCCGGCCATCTGTTTCTGGTGGGGCTGGCTTTGATTATTCTGGCTGCTGCGAAACCCACATTCCTTCCTCTTTGTGGAGACTTTTCTCTTGGTAGCAAAAAAATGTATTGGGGGGGGGTTGGGGGGGGAAGAAGCGTGCAAAATCTGGTTGCGGGAGGGTGGCCGGGTTTAAAGACTTGCCCTTGGCTTCCTCTGAAGTTTTGATGCTAGCCTGGCATTTATTTCGAAGTTCTTCTCCATTGAAGTGAATGGGTCTTAGTTGTGTCACGATGGCTGTACTGAATCAGGCCCAGTGGTTTTGGCGCAGAATCCTGGCCAGCCACATGCTTTCCCTTTAATTTCGAGCCTGCGCTACTTGCAATCTTGTATGCATTTAGTGCACGTTATTTATTTTATTTTATTTGTATGCTGGGTCTGACTGGGTTTCCCCAGCTACTCTGGGCGGCTCCCAACAGAATATTAAAAACACGACAAAACGTTAAAAACTGCCTTAAACTGCCTTCAGATGTCTCCTAAAAGTCAGATAGTGGTTTATTTCCTTGACATCTGACAGGAGGGCGTTCCACAGGGCGGGTGCCACCACCGAGAAGGCCCTGTGTCTGATTACCTGTAACCTCGCTTCTCGCAGGGAGGGAACCGTCCTAAGGTCCCAGGCTGGGTGTCAGCATTAAAGCACAACTTTTTAAAACAACTTTGCGACCGGGAAAATTACCATTTCGTGCATCTCTCTTCGTAAATATTCATTCTCTGTTTAGTAAATAAATATTATTCATCGCCATCTTCGTATTGTGAAATGTTGCGTTGTTTTTAATGTTGTGAACCGCTCGTGAGATCTATGGGGCCCTAAAGAAATTTAATAAGTAATAAAGCTCCCTAGAATCTGTCATATGTCCACTGTATATGTGTGTATGTGCATGTATATACCGTATTTTCCGGCATATAAGACGACTGGGCGTATAAGACGACCCCCCAACTTTCCCAGTTAAAATAAAGTTTGGGACATACTCGCCATATAAGACTACCCCTCTTCCAACGCACACCAAATAAAAATTTAAAAAAACCAGTCTCCAGTCCGGCTCAGAAATCCGCTCCACTTCCCAGTGGCCGGGGGCTTCTGGGGCCAATTTTCAAGCGTATTTCTGCTTCATCTAGAGAGCTTGGGGTCCTCTGATTTAATTTGCGGTCGTTTTATCCTTTGGTGGGGAGCTGCTGCCGGAGCTGCTGCTGCTGTAGCCGGCGTATAAGACGACCCCCGACTTTTGAGAAGATTTTCCTGGGTTAAAATGTAGTCTTGTATGCCAGAAAATACAGTATACCTAAATATCTCTATTTATATGGCAAGCTCTGCGCCTGAAGGCTTGCAATCTTTATGAATATTATTTAAAAACAAACACACACACACACACACGAGAGGAAAGAGAGTTGGGGAGGGAAGAGGAAACCAAGCAAACTCAAGGCACCAAACTGCTTCTGTGTTCTTCCTAGGACAGGGAAATGGCGGGGGGGTGAACCTCTCCTCTCCCCCACTCCCCCTAGCAAACCTCTTATTTGCCTAGCTTTTCCACAGAAGGGAACACCCAGTTACTGTCCGGGTATTTACTTGGGGTGGGGAACAGAGTCACAAAACCAGGAAGCCCCACCTCTCATTCATCCTGCGACTGTTCTGCTCGCCTCAAACGGCTGCCCGTCTTCTTTCTGCTAAGAGCAGAAAGATCTGCTTCCTCGAATGTTTGGGGTGGGTCTTACGAAAGATCTGACGCCCTTTCCTGAGATCTGGGAGCAGGGCGGGGGGCTGAAATCTCTCGCTTCCGTTCGTTGAGAGACGGGTGGGTGTGTTTTATTTAATTACTGTTGCTGCGTTCTCCAAAGCAGCGCTCCCCCACAACAAACCTGCGAGGTAGATTAGGCTGGAGGGGGTGCAATTGTGGGGGGTGGGGTTTGAACCCCTGTCTCCCACGGGTTCCCCGCCCTCGATGAATCGCCTGCGAGGTCGGCCGGGCCGAGATAGCCAACGCCTGCCCTGAGGTCACCCATTCAGCTCCATGGCCAAGTGAGGATCATAGCTGTCAAGCGTCCCTTATTTGGCGGGACAGTCCCTTATCCCAGGGCCATATCCCGCTGCTGTCCCTTATTGATGATGTCCCTTAAATAAGCTACTGAAGGTAACGGGGCCCTTTCTATGTCCAGCTGTCCTTTGTCAACAACAAATTGTTGCTGTTTTTTTGTGTTGAATATATGCTATATGGTAATTAATGGACCTAATAGGTATCTAAAGCCATTCGCATGCAACAAAATATGTATTTTATCAAAGTAATTGTTGATCCCTTATTTTGGCTGCTGATCCCTTCTTTTCGAGGCTGCTGGTCCCTTATTTTCAAATCTGTAAGTTGACAGCTATGGTGGGGATTCGAACCCAGAACCTAGTAGTAGTATTATTACCCTGCTGAGAATCTCCTTTTTACAAGCCTGTGTGGGTTTGCTCGGCCTGAAATCATAACCTCTCTTGGGTTGTGTTTTGGTTTTCGGGATGGGCACCGTTTTTGGCGATGTTGTTGGACTACAACTCCCATCATCCCTGAGATCTGGCCTTGCTAGCTAGCTAGGGGCGATGGGAGTTGTAGTTCAACAACACACAGGTTGAGAAAGGCTGGTTTGGACTGAGTAACGCTGTGCTAAACTTCCTGTTCCTCCCTGACGTTGAGTGTCGTTGTTTTTTGTGTGTGTTTATTTGCTTTGCAAAGGGTGGGGTGGTCCAGGAAGTCTGTGGGGCGCCCCTCCAGTGATGCGTGCCACCCTCCTCTCAGGGAGGGCGCCAACCGCCCGCCCGCCCCACCCACGGAGCGTGGCCGTGGTGCCACCCTCCCTGTGCGGCGGGGAAGCGGGCAAGGCGAGGGTTACCTCGGGCCAAGTTTTCTGAACACGTCGTCAGAGAAAGGAAGAATTCCGTGTACTCTGAGTCATCTCTGGTTTCTGGGAACTGGGGCTCAGCTCTTGAGCTGGATTCAGAGGCAATCAATTTATATTTCTTCCTTCAGAAGGCTTTCTGAATCCTAGCAGGAAAATAATATTTTTCCCCCCTTTTCAGATGGTTGGCGCAGAAGTACGTCTCTATCTCTTTTTCTTTCTTTCTTTCTCTCTCTCCCGCCCTCAGCCCAAACCCATTGCCATCTCTCTAGAGAACATGGAGTTGGGTTTCTGTGTGTGTGTATCTTTTTCCCACCCACCCAGTTCCCTCCCAGAAGACTGTGCGATTGTGAAACTTGCATCCTCCGGCGCAGATAACCCTCTGAGGTTATGTTGCAATCACTGTGACTGCAGGTTGTTGTTTTTTTAAAGTTCCCAGCCCCCCTCCTAGCTTGTGGAAAGGCTTATCGGCGGCCTTGACGCGTTTGTCGAGGGCGGCAGGATCCCTGAGCATATGCAGAGTGCATTCCCCACCCACCCAGGGCGGGTGTGCAGTTGTGCAACTTCATCCTCCAGAGCAGGTAACAGGTTTTGAGTTTTGATTTCCCCCTCTGCTGTGTTTTGCAGAAAGGTTTCTCTCTGCTTCCAGGGCAGCAGGGTTTCTGAGCTTGCGCAGAGTTTCTTCCCCACCCCCTTGCCTCTGTCATGAGCCTTTGGAGTGGGCGTTTTGCGTGAGGTGTGTACCTGTATTTCACGTTACAAGTTGACAAGTTAAGAGACATTTTGACCAGAGTGTGGGCTCAGCCTAGCCGCAGCCGAGTGGTAAATCAGGTGTTTTGCACGTAGAAAGTCCCAGATTCCGATTCCCAGTATCCTACAGGTAGACAAAAATGAGCCAGGTAACAAAACAGCTTCCTGTCTTCCTGGCTCTAAACCAGGAAGTGGCAACAATTCCTTAGAGCGCGCGCAGAGTGCCTGGCAACCAGAACCAGACCTACAGAGCTAAGGGATTTAGGGAACTGCATATCCACACTGGAAGGTGCGACCTCAAGCCGTCTTCCTTCCCATTTGTAAAAAAAAGTGGCACCTCTATGAGCCCGCTAACTTTCCTCTTCCCTCCCCAGCGCTCTTTCCTTGCGTGGTACGTATTTGAACGTATTCGTTCGTAGAATTGTAAAGTGCGAAGCATACTGCTAGGTTCCTCTGGTCCAACCCTTTGCAATGCCTCAGACCTGGGTATGCTCCCCCCCCCCCCTTAAAATGCCCCCCCCCAAATTACCTGCATTAGCGCTTTCTCTCTTTTAAACCAGGCCCAGTGAGGTATAAAGTTGGCATGTGAATTGGCCAACCTGGTGTCGTCCTGGGACTCCCAGTTCCCACCCGCCCCTTGCCCCCAGGCCGGGAACTGTAGCGCGAAGCGCCTGGCGGGCGGTGTTGGGCGGGTGTCTTCATCCGTGGTTCCTTTGACCCGTTGTCTCTGATTCCAGGCTGGCAGATCTACGCAGGATCTGGCCCTTTCTTCTGCCTATTTGTGTGTTTCTGTGCCTGCGTGCAGATAATTGGGCCCCTTCCTCCTTTCTCTGTTTCTTTCGTTCTCTCTCTCTTTCCAAAGAAGCGAGCGCCAGGGGAAGATTTTATTTTTAGTCCTGCCAGGCTCCTGTGGCACGGAGGTGGCTGGTACTCAAGGCAGCCTCCGGTTAATGACAGCGAAGGGCGCTCCATCTTCAGCCTGGCCTCTGACGTCAGAGGAAACGCGAGGAGGAGGGCAGAGCGAGAGACGGGCTCTCTTCTGTGGCAGGGGCAGAGTGCCTTAATGGTTGGAGCGCCAAGCGGAAAACAGATGGCAGCTTTAAACAAAAAACTGAGGAGGGGGCGTTGAGCCTTAAGGGGGCTCTGAGCTCTGAGTCACGGGTGGGTTTAGTTTTCTCCCAGCTGGAGAGCCCTCCGTTCTTATTTCAAAGAGCTGTGGAACTGGAAGGGGGAACCCCAAAGGCCATCAAGCCCAACCCCTTGCAAGGCAGAATTTTTTTTTTTGGTTTTTTGGCATCAAATGCATGTAGATTCTAAGCTATTTCCCCCCGTACTGGTGCACAATCCGGAATTAATTGGTGTTTGCTTGGCTCATTCCTCCCTGTGCTATACCCTCAGTCGCAGAGTCTGTGAAATGGGTTTGCGATATCCTCTGAGGCTGCAGTGATATAATGTGCGGTCGTTATTTCATTTGTTCTCCTACGGCTTCACGTTGTTGGAATGCTTTCTGGTCAAGTTTATGGCCCTTGCGATTTGCGGTGGGGTGTGTGTGTTGCTTTTGTATTTTTCAACGGCTGGCTTTTGTGGGGGGGCCACAAAATAGGTCTCTGCATTTCTTGACCTCCCACGTTCCCCTGGTGCCTAGTTTCTATAATAAACAGATAATCTGTTTACCTGGGGGGTGGGAGGCAGAATAAACCCCCTCCACAAAATTTACCCCCCTTTTTGCCAGGGGGACAGTGTACTTGAAATCCCAGCAGAGGGGCTGCTCACGAATTTACAGCGGTGAGGGGGGCAGAGAGAATTTATCCTTGCAGGAAAGGCTCCCCCAGACCTTTTCTGCGTATGGAAATTGCCATCTGGGCTGGCGTGAGGCTTTTGAGAACAAAGGAGCTCACTCCATTCATCTGGTGGAGCGATATTAAATTTTTTTGGGGGGGGGAGCCTTAAAAAAAAGCATTTTTTTTTTTCCTGATGGGAAGATTCTCTTCCAGCTGCGTGCGACAGACGCCCCCACCCCTCCGCTGTTTAATCAAAATCAATAATAAATATTGCTTGCTGCCTATTGCGCGGTGATGGGTGGTTGTTTTTTTTATAACCTGGCGGGTGTCCAGCGGTCTTTTGTGCCGCCGGTGGGGGCGGTTGCTGCAGGGAGAGACACACAGACCGGGAGTCGTGACTTGCGGCCGGCGGATTGGGGGCGCGCGAGGGTGCCTTTGACGGCAGAGGCTCCTCTGCGGCTGGGCTGGTTTTGGAATTTCGTGACTGGCGCAGGCCGGGGGGGGGGAGAGGAATGCCAGACGCCTGGAGCTTTGGAGAACGCGGCTTCTTCCCTCTCTGCCCCCCCCCCACAGCTCTCCAGACTTGGGGGGAGGAGCAAAGGCCAAATTTCTAGTCCTGTAGATCTGCCCTGAGTCACCTCAAACCCTCGTCGGAGGGCACGAGGTTGTCATAGATCAGGGGTCAGCAAACATTTTCAGCAGGGGGCCGGTCCACTGTCCCTCAGGCCTTGTGGGGGGCCGGACTATATTTTGCAAAAAAAAATAATGAACGGATTTCTATGCCCCACAAATAACCCAGAGGTGCATTTTAAAGAAAAGGACACATTCTACTCGTGTAAAAACACACTGATTCCCGGACCGTCTGCGGGCCGGATTGAGAAGGCAATTGGGCCGGATCCAGCCCCCGGGCCTTAGTTTGCCTACCCATGTCATAGAGGCAAGCATTTGTTCTGGCCCTGATGGAAGACACCATCCTTCGCACTTGCAGATAGACTGCCCTTTTGCATGGCTGTTCCATATACTAGCTCCAAATAATTCGGTTGGAGGGGGGGTTGCTTGTGAGTCGCCTCCCCCTCCCTTGCTTCATTCTTGCTGCAACCCTGGACTGGTTTGTTTGAGAGGCTCTGAGCTTCATGGCTGTGGGGTGGGGTCTGAGTTCGAATTCTCCCTTCCAGAGGCACCATGGGGGTCATCTGGTCCAACTCCCCTGCAATGCAGGAGACAGAGCCCCCCCTCAAAGATACCTGGGTTTCAGTGCAAGCAGTATTTCCACATACCCTTCTTGTGGCAGTGAGTTCCGTAGGGTAATTACCAGAACAGGCGTGTTTTGCCCTCTTCTGTTTTGCCCCACATCCCTGGTAGCAATGTGGCGCATTGCGGCGACCAGGAAACCCAGTCTCTGCCCTCGAGGCGCTTACAGTCTTGGGTTCCGGCTGCGAATGAAGGCAGGAAGAGTGACGGAGGACTTACGTCTGCAATCTTCGCTTCCCTGGGGATAAGAATGCTTACTCTACACTAGCTAGCGGGGCTGCACTCTGCACATGCTCAGGAACCCCTTGACATCACCATTCCTGGGTATTTCAGCCAGTGTTGGTGAAGAGAGTAGAGAAACAGTTACCAGGTCTGAATATGCATGGTTTGTTAAATCAATGTATATTTTTTTAACAAACTGGCGGTTTTTTTGCTTGATGCTTTCGACATGTGTTTTGTTTACGGCGCTGTTCCTGCAGAAGAGAGCAGCGTTGAGGTCCGTCCCACTTCTTCCGTGTTTAGATGCCTTCTAACCTTTCGAAAATAATAATAATTTGCGTGCTAGAGGCTGTTCAGGTCTGCTTCCTGCAGGTAGCAGCCCTCTAAACCTCACTCTGCTCAACTTCCCGGCTGTCCGAAACTCAACTTCGCTGCTTTGCGCCCACTGCCTGCATCCGGTCCCCCTCAGTTCCCACGAGTTTCTCAGAAACTTCGAAGCCGGGGGGTGGGGGGTGTTGTCTTCCATTTCTTCTGTGTGTGTAGATGGGGCACGCACAGTTGTGGGGGGAGGTCTAGGGTGTCTAGAGGATCCCAGCAGGTGCTGGGGGGGTTGGAGTCGATCAGGGTCACGGATGACGCAAAGAGCATTTTTTGGGTGCGCTTAGATTTTTATTATGGGACGTATGTGGCGCTGTGGGTTAAACCACAGAGCCTAGGGCTTGCCGATCAGAAGGTCGGCGGTTCGAATCCCCGCGACGGGGTGAGCTCTCGTTGCTCAGTCCCTGCTCTTTCCAACCTAGCAGTTCGAAAGCACGGCAAAGTGCAAGTAGATAAATAGATACTGCTCCGGCGGGAAGGTAAACAGCATTTCCGTGCGCTGCTCTGGTTCGCCAGAAGCGGCTTAGTCCTGCTGGCCACATGACCCAGAAGCTGTACGCCGGCTCCCTCGACCAATAAAGCGAGATGAGCGCCACGACCCCAGAGTCGGTCACGACTGGACCTAATGGTCAGGGGTCCCTTTACCCTTACCTAGATTTTTATTACTTTTCTCTCTCCCTTTTGCTGACATTTCTGCAGCAGCAAGAAAGGAGAATTCCTCTCCTTCTGTGTGCATTGCAAAAAATTTCGGAAGCGTCGGTTGAACAACTAGGCAGCAAGAAAAACAGAAGGGAAACTCTGTTCCTAAAACCTCCACTGCCTTTGCAGGAGGAATAAACTCCACAAATCTCTAAGGCAGGAGTCAGCAAACCTTTTTCCAAATCAAATATCCTTTATTAGGCATAGCAAAGCACACATTATCAAACAGACACAGCAAACTTTTTCAGCAGGGGGCCGGTCCACTGTCCCTCAGACCTTGTGGGGGGCCGGACTATATTTTGAAGGGTGGGGGAATGAACGAATTCCTATGCCCCACAAATAACCCAGAGATGCATTTTAAATAAAAGCACACATTCTGCTCATGTAAAAACACCAGGCAGGCCCCACAAATAACCCAGAGATGCATTTTAAATAAAAACACACATTCTGCTCATGTAAAAACACCAGGCAGGCCCCACAAATAACCCAGAGATGCATTTTAAATAAAAGCACACATTCTACTCGTGTAAAAACATGCTGATTCCCGGACTGTCCGCAGGCCGGATTGAGAAGGAGATTGGGCCGGATCCGGCCCCTGGGCCTTAGTTTGCCTACGCATGCCCTAAGGCGTTTTTGGAAAGGGACGCTGCGGCTCATCTAGCCCAACCCGCCTGCAACGCGAGAACCTTTTGCCCCACGTTGGACTCGAACCCAGAACTCTGGAATTAGAAGCGTCTCGTGGTTTTAAAAACCCACCCACTTCGCGGCTGCTTTGCAGACCCTTATCTCAGTGGCAGCATGGAAGGGAGGAAGCACCAGATTATTATTCAGTTTGCTTCTCATACCCTTTACCTTCTTAAGTTGGCGAGGACGAAATGTCTAGTTATGTTCTTTTAAAAGACTCCTCCCTAGACCAGCGAACCCCACCTGCTTAAGCAAATATTTACTGCTGTCTCCCCACACCCTCCCCTCCCGGGGACCAGGGCTTGTTCTGGGACTTCCCCACCCAAATCCCAGCAGATTGCACAGGTGTGTCGGGTATTATGGTCTGCCCACGGTGGTGATTGACTGCGGTGAGGTGGAAAATGGGCGGTGGGGGCCTGTGTTTTGAGAAACCCGGCCCTCCAATCTGCTGGCTTTCTCCACCACCCCAATGGAGCGTCAGCCCCCAGCAGGCAGAAATCCGTCAGGTGCAGCTGCTCCCAAACTCGGAATGACGGACGGCAGAGCTGCACCTGTTGAACAGGCTGCCTGCCACGGGACCCAGTCTTTGAACTGTGAGTGGTGGGGTTTCGGCGTGAGGACTGTGCTCTCATCCTCTGCTGGAAACCTGGGCCAAGGGGAAACTGTTCCTAGGTTGCTGTTTTTGTAAGGACTGGAGGAGGCATAATAATAATAATAATAATAATAATAATAATAATAATAATAGTATTTTTTAAAATTAGTTGTATCCCGCTCCCCCAACTGAGGCCAGGCTCAGAACAGCTAACATCATAAAAACAACACAATACGCATAAAAACAGACCCCGTATTTTTTATCATAATTACCGTATTTTTTGCTCCATAAGACTCACCCTTTCCCTCCTAAAAAGTAAGGGGAAATGTGTGTGCGTCTTATGGAGCGAATGCAGGCTGCGCAGCTATCCCACAAGCCAGAACAGCAAGAGGGATTGCTGCTTTCGCTGCCCAGCGATCCCTCTTGCTGTTCTGGCACCTGAGATTCAGAATATTCTTTTTCTTGTTTTCCTCCTCCAAAAACTAGGTGCGTCTTGTGGTCTGGTGCGTCTTATAGAGCAAAAAATACGGTAGTTAAAAAGTAAGACTGTAGCTGTGAGCTGCCTCTGAAACCAGGCTTTTCCAGGTAGCTGCTCACCTATGGCGAGTCGGGCTGTGTCTCCAGGCGACTATGCAGAAGTTTTTAAAAAAATTCTCCCCTGTTCTTCGTTTGGAGAATTCGGAGTATGCGGGGAGAGAGAGCAGGGAACCAGCAAAAACAGACTCTGAATCCTGAACCCGTTTCCGTTTTGAGGTTTGCAGCCCTGAGGTCTAGCAACTTGATTTTCATTCGCTCCCCAAGTAAATTTGTTATCGGACGCTGCTCTGGGACTGAATGTGAGGAGCGTATCGAAATCCATTAATCCACTACATATGTTTGGAAGCCGGGTTGCTTTTTGTCTGTTCGCTACGGATCTGGGCACTTTTTGAGATATCGTAGATGTGAGTTTTCACAACTGCTCAAGGAGTTTTGTCCATTTGCATGCAGCTGGGGACCATTTCGACTCAAGAAAGCGAGACGAACCTTTAGAAACGACTCGATTTTGACCCCACAATCTCAAAAGGGGCTGGTTTTGACCACTGATTCCAAAACTGCATGGAATCTGACGACTTGATCTCAAAACAGCACTGATTTTAACCTTGTGGCTTCCAAACTGTGGTTATTTTGGCCACTTGGCCCTATAACTGGGCCAATTTTGACCCCTTGATGTCAGGGTGGATTTGATTTAAATCTAATCGATTTAAATCAGGATTTAAATCCCTAGTCAGTAAGACTTGATTCTAATCACTAGTCAGTAGGACAATTTAAATCTCTTTTTTAACAGAAAGACTCATTCTTGCTGGCAAAATCTTAATTTTTACAACCAGATGAAGGTTTCATTTTTGGAATAAAAAAATTTCAGAGTAGTTTTTACAGTTACATCAAAAATGACTGATTTACTATTAGAAATACATAGGTTATTATGAAATTATTGCGCAGTTTAATAAGTTAACTGTTTGTATTTGGACAGCTTTTCTGCTGTACTTCATAGGAAGGAGAAAAATAATCATTTCCTTAATAACAATTGAAACAATTTATTTAACCAAAGCGGTAACATTATAGCTATGTATCCATGTTTGTTAAGTGATGTGGTTAAATGGGTTTAAAAGGCAACAAGAAGCAAACTTGGACTGAGTTTTAGCACACATGAAAAAGTTAAAACGTTTCCTGATGTCGAAACAAAATTAAAAAATTCCTTCCAGTAGCACCTTAGAGAGCAACTAAGTTTGTTACTGGTATGAGCTTTCATGTGCATGTACACTTCTTCAGATACAATGAAACAGAAGTCACCAGTCTGAAGTTTGAAGAATTGTGCATGCACACGAAAACTCATACCAATAACAAACTTAGTTGCTCTCTAAGGTGCTACAGGAAGGAATTTTTTAATTTTGTTTCAAATATGGCAAACCGACGCGGCTATCTACCTGTAACATTTCCTGATGAATAGCCTTTGGAGTATAATGTAACTTAAACAGAAAACTATCTTTTATTTTAGAAATCTGACTGAAATAATAAAAAAAAAATCTGATTTAAATTTTAAAAATCCTATTTCTTTTGAGTTTTACCCACCCTGCTTGTATGGAGGCGGTTGGAGGATAGATGCGGCTAACAGATTGAGGTTGAATCCTGACAAGACAGAAGTACTGTTTTGGGGGGACGGGGTGGGTGGGTGTGGAGGACTCCTTGGTCCTGAATGGGGTAACTGTGTCCCTGAAGGACCAGGTGCGCAGCCTGGGAGTCATTCTGGACTCACAGCTGTTCATGGAGGCGCAGGTTAATTCTGTGTCCAGGGCAGCTCCACCTGGTACGCAGGATGAGACCCTCCCTGCCTGCAAACTGTCTGGCCAGAGTGGTGCATGCTCTGGTTATCTCTCGCTTGGACTACTGCCATGCGCTCTATGTGGGGCTGCCTTTGAAGGTGACCCGGAAACTGCATTTAATCCAGAATGCGGCAGCTAGACTGGGGACTGGGAGCGGCCGCCAAGACCACATAACACCGGTCCTGAAAGACCTACATTGGCTGCCAGTAGTTTCCGAGCACAATTCAAAGGGTTGGTGCTGACCTTGAAAGCCCTAAATGGCCCAGTATCCCTGAAGGAGCGTCTCCACCCCCATCGTTCTGCCCGGACACTGAGGTCCAGCGCCGAGGGCCTTCTGGCGGTTCCCTCCCTGCGAGAAGCCAAGTTACAGGGAACCAGGCAGAGGGCTTTCTCGGTGGTGGCGCCCGCCCTGTGGAACGCCCTCATGTCAGATGTCAAAGAGAAAAAGAACTACCAAACTTTTAGAAGACATCTGAAGGCAGCCCTGTTTAGGGAAGCTTTTAACGTTTAATAGGTTATTGTATTTTGTATTACATTGGTACCTCGGGTTAAGTATTTAATTCGTTCCAGAGGTCCGTTCTTAACCTGAAACTGTTCTTAACGTGAAGCACCACTTTAGCTAATGGGGCCTCCTGCTGCTGCCGCACCACCAGAGCACGATTTCTGTTCTCATCCTGAAGCAAAGTTCTTAACCTGAAGCACTATTTCTGGGTTAGCGGAGTCTGTAACCTGAAGCATATGTAACCCGAGGTACCACTGTACCAAACTTTTAGAAGACACCTGAAGGCAGCCCTGTTTAGGGAAGCTTTTCATGTTTAATAGGTTATTGTATTTTAGTGTTTTGTTGGAAGCCGCCCAGAGTGGCTAGGGAAACCCATCCAGATGGGCAGGGTATAAATAATAAATTCTTATTCTTATTCTTATTCAACGAAGTGCTTGTGGGTTTTTTCCTCCCCTTTCTGCGAATTCCGAGATGTGAGAATGAATCTGGTTTGTTTTGATTTTGATACCTGCCTCCTTTCCGCCTCCGCCTCTCACTTCCTCCTCTTCTTCCCTCCCCAGGTAAACGACTTCCTGTCTGGAAGATCCCCTCTCACCTTGGCCCTCCGCGTCGGGGATCATATGATGTTCGTTCAGCTGCAACTGGCGGCCCAGCAGAACGGCGGACAGCTTCAGCACCGCCACCTCATCGCCAGCCGCGGCGAACCCCCGGCCACTGCGCCCCCAGCCGGTCCCGACTGCCCCGCTCTCCACGGGGGCGGCCACGCCCCCCACTTCGCCCGGGTCCCCACCCCGCCCGCTTGCCAGGAAAGCCCCGCCTCCCCGCCGCAGGCCCCGCCCACGTACTGTAGCTCCACCCACCCGACGCCCGTCACCGCCGGCATGTTCCGCTCGCACGGGGCCCAGGCGAGCGGCGGCGCGGGGAGCGCCTCATCATGTTCGGAGGTGAGTCGTGGTCTCGTCCGCGCCTAGTCCAAGCCAGCAGGAGACTCGAACCCAGAACCTGAGCCTCGTGTCTGAGCTATTGCAATGGGGGATTGTTTTGGGGAAATAAGGTTCTCACGGTCAGGGCCCTGATGGGGTCTTATCATCCATCGCCACAGGAAGAAACACCGTATTTTTCGCTCTATAAGACGCACCAGACCACAAGACGCACCTAGTTTTTGGAGGAGGAAAACAAGAAAATAAATATTCTGAATCTCAGAAGCCAGAGCAGCAAGAGGGATCGCTGCGCAGTGAAAGCAGCAATCCCTCTTGCTGTTGTGGCTTCTGGGATAGCTGCGCAGCCTGCATTCGCTCCATAAGACACACACACATTTCCCCTTATTTTTTAGGAGGGAAAAAGTGAGTCTTATAGAGCAAAAAATACGGTAGATAGGGAGCTCCTTTATACAGACCACTAGTCCTTCTGCTTCTGTATGGTCTACACTGATTCGCAGCGTCTCTCCAGGGATGTTCCTGGCCCTATCTGCAGAGGAGTAAACATTGGGAGGGGGCCTTCTATATGTAGGGCAGGTGTCCGGCCACCGAGCTGTGGCCCGTCACCATTTAGGGCCAGAAATCTGCCGCACGCCAAGTCAGAGCGTTGGTCCATCTCATTCAATAATGTCTGCACGGACTAGCAGCAGCTATAATAAATAATACAGTGGTGCCTCGCAAGACGAAATTAATCCGTTCCGTGAGTCTCTTCATCTTGCGGTTTTTTCGTCTTGCGAAGCACGGCTATTAGCGGCTATTAGCGGCTTAGCGGCTTTAAGAAAAAGGAAACAAACTTGCAAGAACTCGCAAGACGTTTCGTCTTGCGAAGCAAGCCCATAGGGAAATTCGTCTTGCGGAACGACTCAAAAAACGGAAAACTCTTTCGTCTTGTGCGTTTTTCGTCTTGCGAGGCATTCGTCTTGCGAGGCACCACTGTAATAATAAATTTTATTTATATCCCACCCTCCCCAGCCGAAGCCGGGCTCAGGGCGGCTAACAACAATAAAACAGTACAACACAACACAACACTCTAAAATCATTCCTTATAAAATTAATTCAAATTAAACCACTGGCAACCATTGGGCCAGAGCTCCGCGAAGATTGCCAAAGGAGGGAGTCAGGCTGTGCCCTGGCCAAAGGCCTGGTGGAACAGCTCCGTCTTGCAGGCCCTGCGGAAAGATGTCAAGTCCCGCAGGGCCCTGGTCTCTTGTGACAGAGCGTTCCACCAGATCGGAGCCACAGCCGAGAAAGCCCTGGCTCTAGTTGAGGCCAGCCTAACTTCTCTGTGGCCTGGGACCTTCAAGATGTTTTTATTTGAAGACCGTAGATTCCTCTGTGGGGCATACCAGAAGAGGCGGTCCCGTAGGTACGAGGGTCCTAGGCAGTATAGGGCTTTAAAGGTTAAAACCAGCACCTTAAACCTGATCCTGTACTCCACCGGGAGCCAGTGCAGCTGGTATAGCACCGGGTGAATGTGATCTCGCAGCGAAGACCCCATAAGGAGTCTCGCCGCGGCATTCTGCACCCGCTGGAGTTTCTGGGTCAGTCTCAAGGGCAGCCCCACGTAGAGCGAGTTACAATAATCCAGTCTGGAGGTGACCGTCGCATGGATCACAGCGGCTAGGTCAGGGCGAGAGAGATAAGGAGCCAACTGCTTAGCTTGGCGGAGATGGAAAAATGCCGCCATCGGGGGGGTTTAGATCGAAGGCAGTTCCCAGATCTCCCTGGAGATTGAACTTTCATTCAGAGCAAATACTCTCCCATTTGAACCCACAGCTTCTCTTGCCCTGGCACCAGAAAACCACAATTTTGGCCTTAATTCAAATTAGACTTTCTTGGGGGGGCGGTTAAGAAAAAGCCTTTTCTGAATATGGTTTGAGGCAGGAATTCGCATCTCTATCCAGGAGGTTTCTAAGCAGAAGTTGGGCGGACATTTTTCAGGAATTCGTTGTCTATGATTCCGGGGTTGGACTAGATGACCGCGGGGTGTCCTTTCTGAATCTTTGCACAGACTTCAATTTTCACCCCTGCCCTCCTTTCGCAGGTCGACTGCGCCACACGGAGCAAACCTTCACCCAGCGCCAGCCCCGTTCAGCCTTCCCGACCCCGCAAACCCGGCGCTGTGATCGAAAGCTTCGTGAACCACGCTCCGGGTGTTTTTTCGGGGACGTTTTCTGGTAAGTCTTCGTTGACCCTTAACTTCTCTTCCTCTGACCCCTCCGCCTTTCGTGGGAACAAAATACGGCTTCGTGTTGCGGTGTGTGTGCAAGCTTCAGGAACATCACAGGGCGCTTTTGCTGGCTGAAGAAGAGCCCTGTGGAGCCCTGAAGCTGGCGCAGGTCCATGTGCCGTTTTTACAATCGAAAATGGACTGTGGGAGCCAACTGATGGGTTTCTGTACAAAGCAGATCTGAATCTGATCTGTGCTGGTTTTTGATAAGAGAAAACCAAGTGAATTTGCAGCTCAACATTTCTAAAAAATTGTATCTGTTTGCCTGGAGCCTTCAATATACACCTTTAGGCACCAGACAAAAATGTTCCCTTTTAACCAGGCCTTTGGTTAATCTGAATTACATCCTATGCCCTTCCAAAATGTGGTTTTTTCCAGTGGGGGTGGGGGCTATTGGGTGGTTATTTTTATTCTTATTAGTTATTTTGTGGTTTTATATCTTGAATTTATTAACTGCCCTGAGATCCCTGGGTATAGGGCGGTATATAAATTCAAATTATTATTATTATTTATTTATTATTAAATGGGCTTGTTGGTTGCGGTTTGGGAAATCTGTGACACTCCAGCCCCTTCAAAGGATGTTGCAGGACCCTGATAATATCCACTAGTGGTTAGGGATAAATTGGGGTTCTATTCTAGACTTATTCAACTTTTGGTCCCTCAAACGTTGTTGGCTAAATCTCTCACCATGCCTAACCACTGCTTGGGGGTCGTGGGGTTTGTAGTTTGGAGAGCCAGGGTTGGAATACTCTCTTGTCGTCCGGCAACATTGAAGAGGGGGTTTTTAATCAGAGGTTGGGACGGTCACCTGCCAGGAAGTACCTATTTTTCGCTCTATAAGACGCACCAGACCACAAGACGCACCTAGTTTTTGGAGGAGGAAAACAAGAAAAAAAATATTCTGAATCTCAGAAGCCAGAACAGCCAGAGGGATCGCTGCGCAGCGAAAGCAGCAACCCCTCTTGCTGTTCTGGCTTCTGGGATAGCTGCGCAGCCTGCATTCGCTCCATAAGACGCATACACATTTCCCCTTACTTTTTAGGAGGGAAAAAGTGAGTCTTATAGAGCAAAAAATACGGTATTTCGCTGTGATCCCCAATTTTCAGGGGGTTGGACTGGATTCTGTTGATTCGAAGAGGTACCCCAGCCAAGCTGCTTTTAAAAAAAGCAAAAAACCAAAGAGAACACTGGAGAGTTTGCTCCCTGGCCCAGATTATTGCCACTTCCTCTTCTCATGTGGACTAGAAACCTGCCCTTCAAAAGCTTTAACATTCACCCTAAGCAAGCGCGGGAAAGGGAAGTTAACAAGACTCTTTTCTGACAGTCTCCCTCTGCAGGTGGCGGCCTCTCCTTCTTCCTTGGAGGCTTTTTGGGAAGTTGAGATCGCTGAGTTGCCGGGGTTGGACTGGATGACCTTTGGGGTGTCCCTGCCCACTCTATAATTCCAAATTTTCCCTCCGCACCCGACCACAAACACAAATTCTGGGGAAGAGGGAGGAAAAACCAGCCAAGCAACTTCATGTGTTTAGATTGTGAATCGATAACCTTGAGGGCTAGCGACTTGACTTTGCTTCTCTCTCGCAGGCACTTTGCACCCGAATTGCCAGGACAGCAGCGGGCGGCCCCGGCGGGACATCGGCACCATCTTGCAGATCCTCAACGACCTGTTGAGCGCCACGCGGCACTACCAGGGCATGCCCCAGTCCCTGACGCAGCTGCGGTGCCAGACTCAGTGCTCGCTTTCCTCGACTTCTTCGTCGCCGTCGCCGCCCCAATCCCCAGATCTCGCCAGCAACACTACCTCAGAGAAAATCGCAGCAGCTGCTAGCCAGTCCTTACACTTGGGCGCCCCCTGTGCCAGCCAAGTGGCAGCGTCTAAGCCTTCCGGTGAGTCCTGCCTCTGAAAAAGAGTCCAGAATGTGGCTCGGGTCATGAGGTCTAGTAACTTGCTTTGCTGTTGGTCTGTAAGGAAGCTGCCACTTTCTGCATGCAAAGGACCCAAGTTCGAAAGCCGGCCTCTCTGGGTAGTAGGGCTCTGTCTGAAACCCCTGCCGGCCAGCACTGTGCTAAATTGAGCGATGCACAGAATAAGCCCAAGTCCCAAATTTGGAACAGTGAGGGCTAGCGTCTTGACTTTTGTGACTTTTGTGACTTTTGCGTTGTACGTGGATATATTTAGGCAGTGCCGTAGCCCCAAGGAGCTTTCCTCGCACAAGGTCCCGGGTTCAGTTCTCCCCTGGAGCGCTGCTGCCGATCAGTGCAGGTGGTATTGAATTAGATGGGCGCGATATCGGGCGCGTTCCTTTTTGCTCCTTTTCCCCATTCCTCCCTTCTTAAAAGGGGACGCAGGTGGCGCTGTGGGTTAAACCACAGAGCCTAGGGCTTGCCGATCAGAAGGTTGGTGGTTCGAATCCCCGTGACAAGGTGAGCTCACGTTGCTCGGTCCCTGCTCCTGCCAACCTAGCAGTTCGAAAGCACACCAGCACAAGTACATAAATAGGTACCGCTCTGGTGGGAAGATAAATGGCGTTTCCGTGCGCTGCTCTGGTTCTCCAGAAGCGGCTTAGTCATGCTGGCCACATGACCCGGAAGCTGTACGCCGGCTCCCTCGGCCAATAAAGCGAGATGAGCGCCGCAACCCCAGAGTCGTCCGTGACTGGACCTAATGGTCAGGGGTCCCTTTACCTTTTACCCTTCTTAAAAAAGGGAGATGCAGCCTTGTAGAACCTCTTAATGTCTGCATGCAAATGGGGTGCAGCAAAAGGAAAGGACTTGATATTTTATTTTATTTTATTTACTCTCCCCCACTTCCCCCCCCCCCAAGTGATAAGTTATCCGTGCTGAGCACGGTGGGGTGTTTTGTGTTACATGCAGAAACTCTCCCTGCAGAGTAAGTCTGGATGTCAGGGGGGAGAGAGAGCGAGGAAGAGAAAGATGTACTCTTGATTTTCTGTTTGGCTTGGATATTCTCGGTCAGGGTGACCCTGTTTGTTGCCAACGATGAACCGAACCGCTTCTGTCTGGATGCTAATAGATGATATCAATCCCTTCTGCAAACCCTTCCAGTTTTGGCCTCTTCCGTTCAGTTTTCGTGGGTGCAGTTTGCATACTCTCTTGCCTAAAATCTCCCAAAAAACGGCTTTTTCTCCTGCATGCTTTTAATGGGCCACTTTGCATCCACAACCCGTTCTTCGCAGTTCGGATCGGCTAAATTGGGGGGTTCCCTTCCCTCTGGCAAAAGCGAGAATCTCCATTTGCGCTTCTGTTCAGTTATGTGTCCTCTTTACTCCCAAGGTCTCTGCCCCCAGGCGCTTACGGATTAAAGCAGATTTAAACCACTCCAGAGGTTTTGAGAAGCGCCCCGCCCTTGCCCCTTCCTCTGTTCGCTGATGGGAGCTGTAGTTCGAAGCGTTCAGAGGGCGCCGGGCTATGGAATTCTGGGGGAAAGTACGTGAATGACTTTTGAGCAATCCTATCCTACTTATCTAACGCGGGTGGTGCTGTGGGTTAAACCACAGAGCCTTGGACTTGCTGGTCAGAAGGTTGGCGGTTCGAATCCCCGCGATGGGGTGAGCTCGCGTTGCTCAGTCCCTGCTCCTGCCAACCTAGCAATTCGAAAGCACGTCAAGTGCAAGTAGATCAATAGGTACCGCTCCGGCGGGAAGGTAAACGGCATTTCCGTGCGCTGTTCTGGTTCGCCAGAAGCGGCTTAGTCCTGCTGGCCACATGACCCAGAAGCGGTACGCCGGCTCCCTCGGCCAATAAAGCGAGATGAGCGCTGCAACCCCAGAGTCGGTCACGACTGGACCTAATGGTCAGGGGGTCCTTTTTATCCTACTTATCTAAGTCCCATTGGACTGAATGAGTTATTTTGCAGCCGAGAAACACATAGGGAATGCCCTGTGAGCTCATAGTTTCATTGGGGGGAATCGTAGGATTGTAGAGTTGGAAAGGGACCCCCAGAGTCATCTAGTCCAACCCCCTGAAATGCGGGAACCTGTCTTGCCCAACGTGGCTTTCAAAACCACGACCCTGAGGTTAAAAATCCCATGCCATCCCAAACCCAATTTAAGGATTAAACTTGACCAAATGTTGCACGAGGACCCCGTAGAACAGGCACCCCCAAACTCGGCCCTCCAGATGTTTTGGGACTACAACACCCATCATCCATGGCTAACAGGTCCTGGATGATGGGAATTGTAGTCCCAAAACATCTGGAGGGCCGAGTTTGGGGGTGCCGGCAGTAGAAGAACATCTGGATTTGTTCTCCAGAGGTGCTGGGACCCCAGCACAATAGTGGCGTTTACACGGTCCTTCCTCGCCACTCATTCCATCCCACACAACAACCGTGCAAGGAAGATTAGGCCGAGAGGCAGTGCAACCAGCCCCAGTCCTGTGAGCTTCATGGGCAAATATGGCGCGATTCGAACCCCAGTCTCCGCCAGGTTCTAGTCCGACATTTTAGCCGCTGGACCACCGTTGCCTCGAGGAACTATGGAACTCCCTGCTGCAGGAGAGCTGTTGAAATTGACATCCTGCTCCTTCCGGTGGGTCTACTCTTGAGTAAAACCCACTTGGCCCACCCTCCTTTTGTGTGCTGTCGATTCTATCCTCGGTTGGTAGAGCAGGAGGCGCTCTTCGTCTCAGGGCTGCCGGTTCGAATTCCGCCTTGGGCGAACGTTTCCAGCATCGCAAGGGGGTTGGGCTGGATGACCTTCAGGGTTCCCACAGACAGTGGCACCTTTCCTCTTATCCGCGTTGTTTTGCAAGCCCTGTGGGGCCGAGTTAGTAGATTAACGAAGGGGGGGCGGGCGATAGCTCCCTCTATCTTTTTTCTTTCTCTATTTTTTTCTCTCTTCCTGCTTTCACGCCTCTTCCTCTCTGCACCCCCGTAGGCTGTGTGTGGCAAAGGCCCCCGTCCCAAAAATAGCAAGGCGAGCTGGCGGGGGCGCAGCAGAAAAACCGACACGGTTCCTGCTTTCCTTTCTCCTCCTCGGCGGCCCGCTCCCCCCCTCCTCGCCGCCACCGTCTCTCTGAGGCTCCTCTCTCGCGGCTTCTGCGGGAAAGAGGTTGACAGTTCCCTGTCTGGCAGCCAAGTTCTGGCAAGGCGGCATTCCAAGCTGGGAGTACACGGGTGGCTCTGCCTCATCCACCCTCCCCCCCCCAAAAAATCTGGCCATAACCTCCGAATTCCCTTCCCTGCTCCTCCTGCCTCTCTCTGTGTCTCCACCAAATTTGGGTTATTTAAACAAAACAAAAAACTGTTGGGTTTGCGATTTTCCTTGCTGCGAGAATTGCGGGTGGGAGACGAGTGTGGGGTTTTTTCCTCCTCTCTCTCTCTCACCTGCCCTGCTCCCCTCCTGGACTTTTGGACCAGGCCGTGCTGGATTTGAACCCGCTTCCTCTTGGGTTGACCTTCACGCAGCCAGGCTACAAAACAACAACAACAACAAATTGTGTTGTTGTGCAGGAACGAAAGGGAACGCAGATTAGCCTCGGCCGTAAGCAGTAGCTGCGAGGCTGTTCTTGCTGCCCTCAAGTCCTTAGTCCTCATTGAGGCCAGAGATGGCTCCAGGTTTAGAGACTCTGTACGAAAACACAAATTTGATGGGACCTGGAAACACCTCGCAAGAATCACTTTTCCCCTAGGGGACCTCGGACAGCCACCCCACACCCTCCAGAAACCTTCAACTCCCCTCCTCCTCTTCCTTCCCCTCCTCGCACGCTGCCCTATATCCGTCGCAGAGTGGGCGCCCCCCCAATCTGCACCCCCTGCAAAAAGACTGGCACCTTGCGACGTGTCTGTAGTTTTTTACGCTTGTGCATGAATCGTGAGTTCTGTGCATCGTTCGGATTCCACCTTCCGAACCTGTTCCTTGCTTGCTGGCTGGCCCCGCTCCACTGCCTATCTCCAGAGTAATTTTCTCGTCCTCTCCCCCAATCCAGCCACTTTCCTTTCTGTTTCTTTGGGGGGGGGGAGTTGGGTGGAAACTGGGTTTTTTGGGGGGGTGGCGTGGCTGTCAGAACGTACCGAACTGTGTCAAGCGTGGCTTTGCACCCAATTTCTGTGCGCGCACCTGCGGGTTGGCGGTTGTGTTCGTCAAAAGGGCGAGGGAGGGAGCAAGCCCACCCCTCCGTTTCCTAGATTCTCTTTTATTTTTTCCTCCTCGCTGCTTGAAAACAGGTCACCTTCCTTTCTTGCCCCCGTTTCTGAACCATAAAAGGTTTTGACGGCTGGTGTGTTGTTAGCCTTGGTGGGGCTGCATTGTGGGGGGCAGCCGCCAGTTGCCGACCAAAAACACGGAAGGAAGTGAGGCGACAAAAGAGCAGCCGTGCAGTTTTTTTGGGGGGGGACGTCCCATTTAAATGGGAAACCCTGGCTAGTTTGCAGATGGTTTTTGTCCCAGAGAGATCGCCCTGATGAAAGCATTTTTGCATGTTCTCTAGTAAGGTAAAGGTAAAGGTACCCCTGACCGTTAGGTCCAGTCGTGGCCGACTCTGGGGTTGCGGCGCTCATCTCGCTTTACTGGCAGAGGAAGCCGGCATACAGCTTCCGGGTCATGTGGCCAGCAGGACTAAGCCGCTTCTGGCGAACCAGAGCAGCACACGGAAACGCCGTTTACCTTCCCGCTGGAGTGGTACCTATTTATCTACTTGCACTTTGACGTGCTTTCGAACTGCTAGGTGGGTAGGAGCAGGGACCAAGCAACGGGAGCTTACGGGGATTCGAACCGCCGACCTTCTGATCGTCAAGTCCTAGGCTATGTGGTTTAAGGCACAGCGCCACTTATTTTTATTTTGCTTGCACCTCATTAGAAATCGGAGGTTTTAGAAGCGAAGTTCAATGGCTTATCTGTCAAGGGTTCTTAAGCTGCGATTCCTGTGGGTTGGATCTCTGGTTTGCTTTGGTTTTGCCAGAAAGTGCATGGGGGAAAACAGTGCCTCTGTCCATGGGCACTGGGCTCACCAACCAACCCACCTCAAAAACAGGGCAGCTTTATCAGGAGTGAGGGGGCGTGGCCTGATTGTAGTAGGCGTGGCCTAGGGAAACTCCCAGGGGCCAGGTGGAGAGATCTGGAGGGCCGCATGCAGAGAGCCAGTGGTTAAGAGTGTCAGGCCTGTTAGCAGACCCGGGTTCGAATTCCCACTCTGCCATTAAGCTCCATTAAGCTCATCGCCTCTCAGCCTAGCCCACCTCTGCCGTCGAAGGATCTCAAACTGGAGTACGTGGTTCTCTCCCCCCCCCCCAATACGGCCAATTCATCTTCACAACAACCCTTTGAGGTAGACCAAGAGATGACTGGTCCAAGATCCCCCAGCCAGCTTCTTGGCCAAGTGTGAATTTGAACTCTGCTCCTGCCAGGTTGATAGGCAGCCGATTAAAAATGACAAATAGCGATCGTCCCTTGATTTAATTCGAATAGCGATTGTCCCTTGGTTTAATTCTAATTTAAAAAAACAATTGCAGGGAGAGTCGAGGCGGCCCTGAAACCCCGTGGATTGTCGAATAAAAATGTAAAGTTGACCCCTGACCATTAGGTCCAGTCGTGGCTGACTCTGGGGTTGCGGCGCTCATCTTGCTTTATTGGCCGAGGGAGCCGGCGTACAGCTTCCGGGTCATGTGGCCAGCAGGACTAAGCCGCTTCTGGCGAACCAGAGCAGCGCACGGAAACGCCGTTTACCTTCCCGCCGGAGTGGTACCTATTGATCTACTTGCACTTTGACGTGCTTTCGAACTGCTAGGTGGGCAGGAGCAGGGACCAAGCAAGGGGAGCTCACCCCGTCACAGGGATTCAAACTGCCGACCTTCTGATCAGCAAGTCCTAGGCTCTGTGGTTCAACCCACAGCGCCACCCGCATCCCTTGCCAAGTTGATATGCAACAGATAAAAATGCCGAATAGCGATCGTCCCTTGATTTAATTCAAATAGCAATCATCCCTTGATTTAATTCTAATTTAAAAAAACAAAAATTGCAGGGAGAGTCAAGGCCGACTTGAAACCCCGTGGATTGTTGAATGTTGTTGTTGTTGTTGTTTAGTCGTGTCCACCTCTTCGTGACCCCCTGGACCAGAGCACGCCAGGCACTCCTGTCTTCCACTGCCTCCCGCAGTTTGGTCAAACTCATGTTCATAGCTTCTAGAACACTGTCCCACCATCTCGTCCTCTGTCATCCCCTTCTCCTTGTGCCCTCCATCTTTCCCAGCATCAGGGTCTTTTCCAGGGAGTATTCTCTCCTCATGAGCTGGCCAAAGTCTTGGAGCCTCAGCTTCAGGATCTGTCCTTCCAGTGAGCACTCAGGGCTGATTTCCTTCCGAATGGAGAGGTTTGATCTTCTTGCAGTCCATGGGACTCTCAAGAGTCTCCTCCAGGGATTGTTGAATAGACCTCCCCAGTTATGAAACTCTTTTGCTTGGGGGGGCGGGCATGTCTTGCCGTCCTCATCCTGCCCACAGAGTCAGTCTCTCTCCCTCTCTCTCATCCGGAGGCGTTAGTGCAGTCGTGGTCTCCTCGGATGAATTCCTCTAGAATAAATACCGCCCCCAGATTATGTCCTGCCTGTCACCAGCGCGGCGCATAACTTCCGCCTCCTGCTTCCCTTTCACTCTCATTAGTGCGCATCGCTCAATCTTTTCTTCTCCTTTGGTCTCTTCCCCCACGTAATTTGACGCGGGGGGAAACTGAGGCACGGGGTGGAATCGGCGGCTCGGCTATCCATCGGCTTTTGCCTTCCTGGTTCCGCAAGGGGGAGAACAGAGAGAGAATGAGAATGTCGGACCCTCCTGGCAAAGTCGCTCGTGGGCGGTGGGTGGGATTCGAATCCTGGACTCTCCCAGCTCCTAATCTGGGACTCTTAGCTCCCTTGAGTGGGGTGGATAGCTCAGCGGGTTTGAGCGTGTGCTGAAAACAACAAGGTTCAATATGCGCTAAATATTCCTGCATTGCAGGGGGTTGGAATAATAATAATAATAATAATAATAATAATAATAAATGACTCTCAGGGCCCCTCTACAGTGCTTTTTTTCTTTTAAAAAATGCATTCTCTCATTTCGACTCAAGAAAATCACCATTTTGCAGAAAATGAATACAGTAAATGGACAAAACTACGAAAGATCCACAAAACGTTTCGGGGTATTCGTACCCCTGTGTGTGTGTGTCCCCCAGAAAAAAAAATCACTGCCCCCCTTGCAAGGTAGGACCTGAGGATTTAAAAAGGCTGCAGACAGCCGGGGGGGTGCGACCATTTGCACGCACGCACGCACGAAAAAGAAAACCCTTGCGTTCTTCAGAGGAAAAGTGAGATATAAATGTATATAATGTTTTCGCAAGGCTCCCTTTTTCGTTTCGCCCCCCCCCCCAACCTATCCGTTTTCTGGCGCCTCCATCTCTCCCCCCCCCCCCGGCTCTTGCAAAAAAACCCCGCTCAATTGTTCTCCCGCCCACGGGCTGCTATAGCAAAGCCGCGGAAAGGGGGGGGTTAGATAGAGAAAAGGGCCGCCTGTTGACGGCAGAGAGTGGGAGGCACGAAGTCAGAGGTGACTTCTTGTTCTCTCCTCCGAGACGGGAAGTGTTCGAAACCCTCCGGGGGGACGGGAGGTGGGGGGGGGGAGAGGCAAGAGAGCTAGAATGAGAAGAAAGAGAGAGAATATATATATATATATATTTTAAAAGAAGAAGTGTGCAAGAGAGCCATTGTTTTTTTGATGTTCCTTGGGCATCCTGTCTCTGTTGCCATGGAGACGAGGTCCTGGTTCTCCATAGATGCTTCCCCCGTGCTGAGGTTATGGAAAGTCCTCCATTTCGAGGCTGGCGTGCCTGCGTTTCTGCTCTCCCCCACATGCACACACCACCCCCTAGGGCATTGGGGTGTTGAATGCCCTTGTTTTATTTTTATTTCCTCCAATCTTGGTGGAAAAGGAGAGGGGTTCTTGACGGAGCTGCCAGGCAAGCCATTTTGCTTTATTTATTAAATTTGTAGGCTCCCCTCCCATCAAAGCATCCCGGGGCAGTGTGCAGTATAAAATACACAATAATAATAATAGGTCAAGGTAAAGGGACCCCTGACCATTAGGTCCAGTTGTGGCCGACTCTGGGGTTGCGGCACTCATCTCGCTTTATTGGCCGAGGGAGCCAGCGTACAGCTTCCGGGTCATGTGGCCAGCAGGACTAAGCCGCTTCTGGCGAACCAGAGCAGCGCACGGAAACGCCGTTTACCTTCCAGAGCGGTACCTATTTATCTACTTGCACTGGTGTGCTTTCGAACTGCTAGGTTGGCAGGAGCAGGGACCGAGCAACGAGATCGGCAAGTCCTAGGCTCTGTGGTTTAACCCACAGCACCACCCGCAGCCATAATAATAATAATAATAATAATTTATTATTTATACCCCTCCCATCTGGCTGAGTTTCCCCAGCCACTCTGGGCGGCTTCCAGTTGAGTGTTAAAAACAGTACAGCATTAAATATTAAAAATTTCCTAAACAGGGCTGCCTTCAGATGTCTTCTAAAAGTCAGATAGTTGTTTATTTCCTTGACATCTGATGGGAGGGTGTTCCACAGGGCGGGCGCCACCACCGAGAAGGCCCTCTGCCTGGTTCCCTGTAGCTTCACTTCTCGCAGGGAGGGAACCACCAGAAGGCCCTCGGAGCTGGACCTCAGTGTCCGGGTAGAACGATGGGGGTGGAGACGCTCCTTCAGATATACTGGACCTCAGGCTGTTTAGGGCTTTCAAGGTCAGCACTGACCTTGAATTGTGCTCGGAAACGTCCTGGGAGCCAATGCAGATCTCTCAGGACCGGTGTTATGTGGTCCCGGCGGCCGCTCCCAGTCACCAGTCTAGCTGCCGCATTCTGGATTAGTTGCAGTTTCCGGGTCACCTTCAAAGGCAGCCCCACGTAGAGCGCATGGCAGTAGTCCAAGCAGTAGACAACCAGAGCATGCACCACTCTGGCGAGACAGTCTGTGGGCAGGGATGGTCTCATCCTGCGTACCAGGTGGAGCTGGTGGACAGCTGCCCTGTACACAGAATTGACCTCCACCTCCATGGACAGCTGTGAGTCCGAAATGACTCCCAGGCTGCGCACCTGGTCCTTCGGGGGCACAGCCGCCCCATTCAGGACCCTGTCCCCCAAAAAACAGTGCTTCTATCTCTGGGGTCTCCTGAACACTGAGACCAGCAGGATTCTGGGACCGCAGATAAAGGAAGCTGGTAGACTGGGAAATAGCATGGTTGGGTTTTTTGAGTGGATTTCTCCAAAGTCCCCCCGCTTTCCGACGCCTCGTTTAACGTCTCTGTGTTTTTTCCTTCGCAGGCGACCGGTTGCGGCAGACGGAGAACCGCGCCACGCGCTGCAAAGTGGAACGCCTGCAGCTTCTGATGCAGCAGAAGCGGTTGCGTCGGAAAGCTCGCCGCGACGCCCGCGCCCCTTACCATTGGCTCCCCAACCGCAAGTCCAGCCGCACGAACAGCAACAGTAGCATGTCTAGCGAAGGGAGTCTTGACCTAGACTTCGAAGACTCTGTGTGGAAACCGGAAGTCAAAGCGGACATGAAATCCGAATTTGTTGTAGCATAAAAGGAAAAAACAAAAAACCTAGACCGCAGGGAGGGGAGGACGAAGAGACCGAAGTTTTTTGGGGGGTGGGTGGGAGGGGGCGTCGAACGGGAAGCCGGGGGTGGGGAGAAAGACCATTTAGTAATAATTAATAATACGTTTTTGGGTCCGTGCGAGCAAAGTCCTTGGGTGCTTTGATCCTTTTAGAAAACAAGATACACACACACACGAAAAACACACACACTTATTGGATCACGGCGGACGGACCAGCCCTACGGAAATCTCCTTCGGCAGATTGGAACAGTATTTTCTATTCTTTTCGAAACTCGTTTGTTTTTTCGTTTTGAGAACTGAAGCGGCTTGGGATGGAGCGAGAAAGAGACTTTGCTTCCCAGGAACTGGACTTGAAAGGAACTTTTTTATTTTTTAAAAATTCGGTTTTCTCTCTCTCTCGGGTGTGTATGTGTGTGTTTCCCCCCACCCTCGTTTTCATTTCGCGGTTCTTATTTTTTAAAAAAGGATGAGGGTCCTTCGAACAGCTAGCTGCCTTAGACCGACGAGTGGAAGGGAAGACTGACCCCGGCCAGGGAGGAGGAAAAAAGGAAAAAACAGTGAAGGGAGTTGGACTTTGAGATGTGCGGAGAGCGGGAGGACTTTACAAACCTCTTGGTTTTCCTGGTTTCGTTAATTTCGGGGAAAGATGGGGGGGCGAACCTTTGTTTTTGGGTGTGTGGCGAATGCAGCTCGCTTGCCTATGAAATTGGTTGTACCTCCCGAAAAGTTGGAGACTGTTTCGTTCCTTAAAAAACAAATACTGAAATCTTCCCTTTTTTTATTTTAAAGATTATCTCTCTTCTGAATGGATTGGGTGGTTTCTGTGTTAACGGAAAGAGCTGTGCATTTGTCCGGAGGAGAGGAGGGGAGGGCCCAGATTCTGGAATTTTTTTTGGGGGGTGGGGGTTGGTTATGATTATTTTTTTAAGAGGATGTGTGCATGTACGTGTGTCTTATCTCTCGTCTCTCTTCCTCTCCCCCTGTCCCGCATCCTTAAATAATATAGCATTTCGGACCCCCCCCTCCCCAGTCCTGTCAAATCAAAGCGCTTGTCCTCCCCCCTTTCCCCCACCCCAGCCATCCAGTCTGCATTTCCAGGAACCTTCCATGCACTTTAGAGGTGTGAATTGTGAAGTGGTAGAAGCCTGGGGTATTTTTTCATATATTTTTTTAAAAAACACGATCAGGGCAGGGAGAACGCCCTTCTTGCCTCATCCTGGCTTCCTTTTCCTCTCTTGAGAGTTTCCTGTTTCGTATTTTTTTTCATTTCTTTGCTGCATTCTTTTTTTTAATTGCGTGCATTAAAAATTAGAGGCCACCGGGCGTTTTCTCTCCCTCCCTTTATCGATGGAAGATAAGTGTGAGTTTTTGCAAGGCGAGAGATCTGCCCGGTACCAACCCTCTGAAGGGGGGGAGTCAGAGGAACCTCAGAACCGTTGCTCAGTGTCGTCCAAAGCCCGCTCCTCACCAGTTTACACTCAAAACACTCCGCCACCATCCTCTATAGCTCCTCCTCCTGGTACAGTCATCTCCCGTGACTCCATCGCTCTGGGCTGCTGACCCACTTCCTTCGCCATTTGAGGATGTCCCCGGGATATTAGCTTGGCAGAACCCAGAGCAATGATCCGGAATAACCCCCGGAACAATAATCCGAAATATCCGCTTTTCCACCACGCGGCGGAAGCGCCCCCTCCCTCCGCAGATAGAACTGCAATTCCGCACGCGTCCGGGCGGGAATCGAAAACGTAACCTCCCCGTTGTAGAGACCAATATTATTATTATTTTTTCAGGATCTCCTCCCCCAAATCAGATTCTTCTCTCTGTGTGTGCGTTTGTGTGTGCGTGCGTGCGCGCTTTTGGAAATAAAGATTTAGTGACATGAAATAGTATCTAGTGATGCTTATTTAGATACTTGGGGGGTTTTTTTAAAGAAAAAGAAAAATATTATTTATAGACTTAACAATGATCTGAGCCAGTAATTTTTTCATAGGCTGTAGTGTGTGTGTTTTTGGTGCCCCCGCCCCTCATTTTTTTGTGCAAATCTAGCAACCACAGTGTTTTGTGTATGTGTGTGTGAGAGAGAGAGTGTCAGCAATAGAAGCTTAACATAAATTGGGGTGGAGGATGAGCATACACTTAGGATAACTTCGGATTTAGGCCTTAAAAGTTTCCAGCAATGTGGATGTAAAATAAAGGCTTGCATCTGCAAACCCTGATCTGTGTTCTGCCCCATACGTCTGAGTACGGCCCATTGCAATTCACGGAAACGGCTGCTCCAATAATTTCAGGGGGTCTGTAGACTTTGCAGGGGTTTTGCAGAACGGGACATCCGAACCAGTTGAAAGCTGGTCGCGCCTTGCAAAGTTTTCTGGGGAATTTTGTACTGAAGGGGGACAGCTGGGAGATGATTTTTTTACCTTCTTGCAAAGGGTTGGACTCTGATAACAATGGGGCAGTTACGGACAGACCTTTGGAGATTCCCCCTTTTATTTCACCTTTCTTTTCTAAGTGTGTATGTCTCTGTGTGTCCGACGAAACCATTCCCACGTCCTTGAATCGAGACTTGTGTATGTGTGTGTTCACACAGTTACGTTAGGAGACACTTGGGGGTTTTTACCGAAGCAGCCGAATTAGGTTTTAATCCAGGGACATTCTAACACTACCTTGCTGCCCCAATGTACATTATAATAATAATAATGACCGGGGGTGGGGGGGAATAAAAAGCAGACTGAACTTTAGAAGCAAGTGCCTCATTCTGGAATTGTTTGCACATAAGTTTGGCCATTTTGGGTTTTTCTTTGCCTTACGCCGAATCCGCGATGTTCCAGTCAAGCCATCAAATTGGCACCCTGTTTAAAAAGGTGTCGTCTTAGCCCTTACCACTGCGGGGGGGGATCGTAGATTTGGAAAGGTACCCTAAAGGTTATTTTACCCAACCCCCCTGCAATGCAAGAATATACGGCTGTCCCATGCGGGGATTCAAACCTGCAACCTAGCTAGCTGGTGCGGGTGGCGCTGTGGTCTAAACCACTGAGCCTCTTGGGCTTGCTGATCAGAAGGTCGGCGGTTCGAATCCCCGCTCCCGTTGCTCTGTCCCGGCTCCTGCCAACCTAGCAGTTCGAAAGCACACCGGCGCAAGTAGATAAATAGGTACCACTTTGGAAGGAAGGTAAACGGCGTTTCCGTGTTCTCTGGTTTCCGTCACGGTGTCCCGTTGCACCAGAAGTGGTTTAGTCCCGCTAGCCACATGACCCAGAAAGCCGTCTTTGGACAAACGCCGGCTCCCTCGGCCTGAAAGCGAGATGAGCGCCGCAACCCCATAGTCGCCTTTGACTGGACTTAACCGTCTAGGGGACCTTTATCTAACCAGCGGAGCTATATGCATGCTGCGATGTGGGCAAGGATGTTTCTGGCCCCAGAGGACTTACTGAATTTCCTTTCTGTGTTGGTTGCCGGTGCGTTAAATTCGTACGTTTTTAATTTTCCCAGCCTCTGAAACCGAACCCCGAAATGCTGATAAGCTGGGATTTTTTGCACTGGTTCGAACCGTGAGCTGTTAGATGCCAACACACTCTGGGGAGAAAGAAACCCCAGACTATTTGTACGGCTGTGACCTCTGTCGATGGGCCTTCTCTCCAAAAAGATCTGCACGGGTCATTTTTCAGTCTAGCATCGCTTAAAAAGGGAGAACTGTTTATCTTCCCCTCTGCCCGCAAATGAAAGAAATCCAAAAACTGCTTCCTCCAGATATTTTTTCCCAGCCAGCCTAAGCTGATCCTAAAGAGTTAGCCCCAAAATACCTCTGCAAAAGGCAATTTTGGCAACGCAACTTGAGTTCATCGCCTTCCCCTTGACCCTGCCCAAATCATTTGTAGCTAGCTAGGGATACTCCCCCCACCAAAAAAATACAACTTTCACGTCTCTAAAAAGGTGCACAGCCGCCCCCGAACCCGCCGCCATAAGCCTCTAGCCTTTTCGCACACCATCCGGGTGGTAGAGCTCCCATTGGCTGGAGGGAAAGGAAGCTGCTCCCCCTCTGGCGAAATAGTGTCGTTACACTTCCTGTTTCCTTCCCCTAGATGTGAAGTTCCTTTCGTATGTGACGCTGTAGCGGGTTTTTAAATTTTTTTTTTTAAGAAAGAAAATGTGTTGTTTTTTTTAATTATATATTTAAATGTTACTACTTTTTTGTATGGTGTGTGAATGTAATCTTATCGATTTCCCCCCCACCCATCGTCATTTCCCCACCCCCTCTCCCTTGCGTGTTTCTGTTTTTTGGTTCAGGATTTTTTAAAAATAAAATAAAAAATAAAGTCTATATAATAAAACAACGAAATAAGAGCCAAAAGCATTACAACATAACTCTCTTCTGTGTGGTTGAGTGTGTGGGTGTGGGTGTGTGTCTTGGAAGAATGTGGGGGGGGGATACGTAGACCTGTTTTATCACCTCATTTAAGTTACCTGTATTAAAAAAAAAAGAAACTTTTAAAAATAATAAACACAAAATAAAGATTGCTTGAGCCACACTTTTTAGCCTAAATCACCTTATTTCATGTTTAAAACGAGATGCAAGTTTGGGGGCTGGGAGACAACAAGCCAAATTCACCCGAGATTTGGGGAGGATTGCAAAATTTGCAATTTTTTGCATCTGTCTTGAGCGCTTAAGGATGCGATCTTATATACATGTAACTGGAGTTAACCCCCTTTGACCTCACTGAGGCTATGTACATATTAGCGGCTTAAAATGCAAGGAAGTCATTCCCCACACTCCCCCCCACCGCGCCGCAAGTTGAATTTTCATATTTTATAGGTGACGGGGTGGTTTGGGGGTGTCGTCACCCCACCTGAGCATTACCTGTTTGGTTCCCCTGTGCTAGCAAATCCTCTGAACCCCAATTCACCGAAACGGTCAACTGAGCATGTGCAAGAACTATCCTGGGTGTACACACCTCAGCTCAACTGGAGGACGTCTTCAAATGGTTCTGCACCTCTGGCATCAATCCTATGTAGATCTATTTGACAGCTGAAGTCCCTGGGGAAGACCGCTGAGTAGATATAATAATTGTTATTTATTTTTGTTACATTTGTATGCTGACCTCCATCTTGCAAAAATCCAGGAGTTTCGCAACATAACAGTACAAAAGCCACAAAATGCATTGCAAAAATAACAGCAAACCAATAATCGGCCATCCCCTCTGACAACACATTTAAGAGGCCTGGGTAAAGAGGAATATTTTTGCCTGGTGCCTAAAGGTGTATAATGAAGGTGCCAGGTGATTCTCCCTGGGGAGACGATTTCACAGACGGGGAGCCACTGCAGAAAAGGCCCCGCTCTTGTGTTGCCACCCTCCAGCCCTTTTTGTGGAGGAGGCACATAAAGAAGGGCCTTTGGATGATTTCGGAGTCCAGGTTGGTTTATACGGAGAGCCTTCTGGCGGTTCCCTCCCTGCGAGAAGTGAGGTTACAGGGAACCAGGCAGAGGGCCTTCTCGGTGGTGGCGCCCTCCCATCAGATGTCAACTATCTGACTTTTAGAAGACATCTGAAGGCAGCCCTATTCAGGGAAGTTTTTAATGTTTGCTGTTTTGTCGTGTTTTCAATATTCTGTTGAGAGCCACTCAGAGTGGCTGGGGAAACCCAGCCAGATGGGTGGGATATCACAAATAAATACTACTACTACTTTGGCAGTCTCTCGCAGCCGAGTAAGATTGTCTTCCATGAACATGGTTTTAACAATGAGTCCGTAAGTGACTAAGGAGGCCAATTCTGGACCCACACGTCCTTCCACAGTGGGGACATTGGTTTCCAGGCGGGAGTTGATCCCGGTGAGGGTTTGCCAAGCGTGCCTTCCTCTTAGCACGTTTCTCCCTTGCGTCCTGAGTTCAAGTGTCTTCAAAGCCCACAACACCTTTGGTCAAAGCTGTTCTCCAACTTGAGAACTCGCAGGCAACTGTTTCCCAGTTGTCGGTGTTTATACTACATTTTTTAAGATTTGCCTTGAGAGAGTCTTTGAACCTCTTTTGTTGACCACCAGCATTACGCTTTCCGTTTTCAAGTTCAGAATAGAGGAGTTGCTTTAGAAGAGGATAATCGGGCATCTGCACAACATGGCCAGTCCAACGAAGCTGATGTTGAAGAATCATTGCTTAAACACTGGTGATCTTTGCTTATTACTGTATTATAAACCGTCTTGCCCCTATAAGCAACCTGGCTTCCAAATTCTGACCCAGCTGGAGTTTCCGAACGATCTTCTGAGGCAGCCCTATGAATAACAGGTTGCAGCAATCTAACCTGGCTTTTTGGGGGGCCTCTGGACCAGCCGAAAATGTGAAACCTGCCAACTTTGCTGTTTCTCATGGGGCCCAAATGACTGTTTTCTTGAGATGTGTGGGCAAAGCCAAACTCTTGCATTTCCAGTAAGGCGAAGGAGAACGTGAGCTGGAGGAGTTGCACACATTTCTCTGCAGTTTGGGGTTTTGCAACCCGTGCCTTAACGCTTCTGGTCGATGAACACGTCAAACAGGAGCTGGGGAACGTTGGGGGGTTCTCCCAACCTCATCAGCACCCGGCCAGGTTGTAGAGTTGCAAGGGAACTTAAGGGTCCTCTAGCCCAACCCTGAATCTTTTGCACAACTTGGGTTTCGAACCCACAACCCTGAGATTATGCCCTTATGCTCAACCAACTGAGCTGTTTCAGGAACACATGAAGCTGTCTTATTGTGAGTGTGGGTGGCACTGTGGTCTAAACCACTGAGCCTCTTGGGCTTGCCGATCGGAAGATTGGCGGTTCGAATCCCTGCAACAGGGTGAGCTCCCGTTGCTCCGTCCCAGCTCCTGCCAACCTAGCAGTTCAAAAACACACCAGCGCAAGTAGATAAATAGGTACCACTGCAGCGGGAAGGTAAACAGCATTTCCGTGCGCTCTGGTTTTCGTCACGCTGTCCCATTGCGCCAGAAGCAATTTAGTCCTGCTGGCCACTTGACCCGGAAAGCTGTCTTTGGAGAAACGCCGGCTCCCTTAGCCTGAAAGCGAGATGAGCGCCACAAGCCCATAGTTGCCTTTGACTGGACTTAACCGTCCAGGGGTCCTTTAAAGGTAAAGGGACCCCTGACCATTAGGTCCAGTCGTGACCAACTCTGGGGTTGCGGCGCTCATCTCACTTTATTGGCCAAGGGAGCCGGCGTACAGCTTCCGGGTCATGTGGCCAGCAGGACTAAGCCGCTTCTGGCGAACCAGAGCAGCTCACGGAAATGCCGTTTACCTTCCCGCCGGAGCGGTACCTATATATCTACTTGCACTTTGACATGCTTTTGAACTGCTAGGCTGATAGGAGCTGGGACCGAGCAACGGGAGCTCACCCCGTCGCGGGGATTCGAACCGCTGACCTTCTGATCGGCAAGTCCTACGTAGCTCACCAGTGTCTACGCTGACCATGCAGAAATCTTAAGGGTCTGGTGCACCAGACAGAGGTCTAAATTAACAGGCACCCTGGCAGCTGTTGCCTTGCTGGTGGGTTTTTCTGTTTGCATGCTGAAAGAAAACAGGATGCAAAATGGGCCTTCAGCCGAGCTGAGACGGACGTCGGCAAGAGACGCCTCGGAGCCTCAGCCACTGAAAGGTGCGGCGTCGAGTGCGAAAACCACACAGAGCCCCTCGCACCCAAAGAAGGGAAATCCTGGCCTCTTGTTTCTCAGAAGCCAGGGCTGTGGCACCCACGCAGCCATGCCGTGGCAACAGCCTGTTTGCTCAGGGCCTCTGGTTACGAGGAAGCGCATTTTTCATGTCTGCCCACCTCGTCCCTTCCTCTTCCCCCTTTCCCGGCACAGGATATCCTCTCTGAGGCTTCGTGGCCTCGGCGTTCCTCCCAGACCTGCGGTTGAGGTGAGGGAGAGTCTGCGCCCTGTACATGCTCAGCAGCACCCTTGTCCTTAAGCACCAAGGCTTTGTGGTTCCATGTTGGTTGGAGGATGGATGGCGGCTAATGGATTGAAGTTGAATCCTGACAAGACAGAAGTACTGTTCTTGGGGGACAGGGGGCGGGCGAGTGTGGAGGACTCCCTGGTCCTGAATGGGGTAACTGTGTCCCCGAAGGACCAGGTGCGCAGCCTGGGAGTCATTCTGGACTCACAGCTGTCCATGGAGGCGCAGGTCAATTCTGTGTCCAGGGCGGCTCCATCTGGTACGCAGGATGAGACCCTCCCTGCCCACAGACTGTCTGGCCAGAGTGGTGCATGCTCTGGTTATCTCTTGCTTGGACTACTGCCATGCGCTCTCTGTGGGGCTACCTTTGAAGGTGACCCGGAAACTGCAACTAACTGCGGCAGCTAGACTGGTGACTGTGAGCGGCTGCCGAGACCACATAACACCGGTCCTGAACGACCTACATTGGCTCCCAGTATGTTTCCGAGCACAATTCAAAGTGTCGGTACTGACCTTGAAAGCCCTAAACGACCTCAGCCCAGGAAACCTGAAGGAGTGTCTCCACCCCGGACACCGGGCTCCAGCTCCGAGGGCCTTCTGGCGGTTCCCTCACTGAGAGAAGCAAAGCTACAGGGAACCAGGCAGAGGGCCTTCTCGGTGGTGGCGCCCGCCCTGTGGAACGCCCTCCCACCAGATGTCAAAGAGAAAAATAACTACCAGACTTTTAGAAGACATCTGAAGGCAGCCCTGTTTAGGGAAGCTTTTAATGTTTAATAGGTTATTGTATTTTAGTGTTTTGTTGGAAGCCGCCCAGAGTGGCTGGGGGGACCCAGCCATATGGGTGGGGTATAAATAATAAATTATTGTTATTATTAAGGAATATCTAGCTAAATATTATAATATAAGTGGAAATACTTGCAAGTATTAAATTGGTTTAGGATTAAAGTATGTTGAATTGTATAATACTATGGGTTGAGGTTATGATGAAAAGAAAGGAAGTTAGTAATTTGGACTAGTTAATTATATTAGGAAGCGAATATTGGAAAATTGCTAAAATGAGATTTAATGAAAATCAGTTAGGAAGGATTCGAGGAAGTCACTTAATAATGGAAAATAATTTGGATTTCGATTGGAAGAAATTTCATATGTTTGTTTTTCTTTTTATATGTTTTGCTTTTTGTCTTGTATTTGTTATAAGCTTGGGAAATTAATTTTAAAAAATTATAAATGTATGTGGCAGCAAATCCCCCACAATGCCCCTAAGTGCCTCATTGGGGCATGATGGGAAATCAAAATGGCCGACCCAGAGCAGCATTCCAGTTAACCCTGTCAGAGCCAGAGAGCAGCTGGCTGCTCAGGGGTGAGACGAGAGCGAGCAAAGCGACCTAACCTGTTTCCTTTTCACCTGACTGCCAGGTGACCTTTTGGTGCTTGGTTTGACTCACACCTTTCTTGCAGGGAAGAAGCTGAAAGCAATAATTCTCCCCAGCCGTCCCTAGCCAGTGTTTCCTTGAGAGCCTGAAAAATTCACACCCAAAAATTCTTCCATGCCTGTCGGATCATGGGGAAAAAAGGCATGTGCTTGGAAAATACCGTATTTTTTGCT